TTTATTTTCTCCACAGATAGCTCAAACACAAAATTTGTATTTTCAGTGCCGCATCAAGCACAATTAATCCAATTTCTGCCCAACAGAATCATGCACCCTTCCGTCATCGTGAGGAATGAAAATGAATCCTCGACCAGTCAAGAAGCCTCCCAACCTTGATGTCGGGAGATTCAGGATGTCATGCATAGTCACGGAAGAAAGAACAACTGTGGTTGGAAGCATTTGGAAAATGAAGGCTCTCTTTTGTGATGTAGTGCGGATGTCCATGGCCCTCAAGCCTTCATTTGTTTGCCACGGACTATAGAATTCAGTACTGGCAATGCAACAAGACTTGTAACATAGTCTGGGCAGCTGCCATGGATCTATTGGCAACTTGACTGATAGTGATAGTGGTAGATTCAGGCTGGGAGAACCAGTGACCTAATGGAAACTAAGATTCACCAACAACTTCTTGAACTAGATTGTTTGCCTGAAAGCAACCAGACGGCACGGTTCCTCCGAAAGAAGCCATAGACAGATGACCAAAGTACTTGAATATATATATATATATATATATCCCTATGGATCCAAGTACCCTCTAAGAAGGTGTTTGGGGTGGGTGCCAGGAGGGTCCAAGTACCTTTTGAGGAGGTACGACTGGATCCCTAGGGTATGGGTGGGGATTCAACGGTTGTCCCAGGGTTTTCGGACGATGGCCCAGTCTCCGTCACCCGAAGTCCACCCCGCCTCGTTTCATTGCCCCCAACCTCCACCCGGAGGTCTACCGGCCGAAGAGGTCCTGCAACTGTGGGACCGCGTGCTCGGGCTCGGGACGCCCAGTCCACCCACACGTTGGCCGATGTCCGAGGGCCCTAAACCTCCAGACGGCCCATCTCCCAGGTGACCGGTGGTCAGACAGACCCCCCAAGACCTCCCACCCCAAGCGCCCATCGAACCGATGGCCGGAGGGGACGGCCAGGAGGTGAGAAAGATCGTTCTGGTGGAGATGGGGCGAGTCCTGGGTCCTGACTTACTGGGAGCCGGATGTATCGAAGAGTTTCAGACATTGTCGATTGAGAGTAGATGGGCATGATGGCACAATCCCCAAGTCTACATCGGCTTTGCACATCCTTTGGTACCACCTAAATGCAGTTCGGTGGGGTGTTCTGACCACCACCAGGTAGGGAAAACATGGAGATCTTCTCGGATCGGATTGCGCCGGCACGAATCCGCCCACTGGGCCATTCCAGGTTTGACTCTGTGGCGCTGGTGCCCATCTTGGCGGCGGCCATCGTGGCGCTGCGCTCCAAGCTGATCCTGGCCGCGCGGCGTCCCGAGGTCGGCGGAGTGGCTGAGAGACGAGAGGGATGGGAGATGAGGTGGATGATGGGTGGATGATGGGGTGATGAAAGAGGATGAAAGAGGATAAAAGGCGTACACCTCAACTTGTTGATGTTGCTTTATTGTTGATACTTGTGTTGAGAACGGTCCCTAAGTTCAAAGATGTTTGGACCAGGGTAATTGGTCTGAACATTTTTAGGCTTGGGTCTGCGGCCCAGCTTTCCAGGAAACTGTGCACTCCTACTGTTCACTCATACTGTTGAAGGCAACAAGTCAGTAAGTGTGTGTGTGTGTGTTTGTATTAGACCGAAGCCTTTCACCTTGATGTGACTGGTTGTCCAGTGTTGGCACTGCGGTTGCTTGTCTTTTGTCCCTCCCGCCTTCCCAAAAACTAGGGGGTGTTATTGCCCTACACTGATGTTCTACCAATGGCCATGTTGTTCTGTGCGACACAGATCCGTGGGCCTCATACCCCGATCTGTGGAGAGACAGTGTTTGGGCTCTTATTTGTTTGGCAGATTGAGATTTGTCGTTGACCTCTTGGCCCCGCCTTTCTTGTCTTTGGCAGGCGCTCAACTGGGTTACAGTCAAGTAAGAAAGACAAGTGAGGACCTAGTTCAGGAGATCTTGATCGTTTAAGGTGCATTTCTAAAAACTCGTTCAAGCGGTCCAAATGACCTCACTTTGTAGATGATAAGGCAGACATGTAGTGCAATGCGAATAAAATCACCAATGTGTTGCCCTGACGTGTCCAGGAGGTGCAGTTGGTCTTCTCGGACATTTCCTGCCCCTTCCTCAGCTCTACTTCGGAAAAGAAATGTGGTTGCCATTGTGAGAGTGTTTTACAATCGACCTGTTGGTCAGGATCTCACCGTTTGGTACAGGGAATGCTCACTGCTCCCGTGCCTTTGTTTCTCTCCGAAGTAGGTGCTATGTTGACTTGGAGGAGGAGTGTGGACCAATGATCTTGGGAAGCTGAAAATCATTGTGAAATCCAAACATCAAAGATCATCCATTGTGGTTTGGCCCTGCAACCTTGGTGAACATCCTGGCCATGAATGGGATTGGCCTCATCTGGAATGGTGTCCGCACGTGGCAAAATGTTGACAATCACATGATTGCAAGTTGGTGAATCTCCAGTTCGTAGCGATATTCCAAATGATGTTTCTAAGGTTTGGTTGGTTTTTGTAAACGATGACTCGGAAATTGATGTATTATGATGTTTCGGTCTCAGCAACCTAGAAGTGCAGTATAGTAGAGAGCAGAAGCCGCAATCGAACTTTGTGGTTTCACGGTGAAACAGGGCCTTGCACTGTTTCTTGCAGCAATGGGCCGCCAGTCGCTTGACTTAGGTGTCAAGGCCATTCCCTTGTCTGGATTGCCCAGCATCGCCTTGGAGCACCACACTCGTTTGGTGGTAGAACGTGTAGGAAACGGGTGAAAGTGGTTTGTGGGTGGAAGAAGTCCGAAACAAAAGGGAAAGAACAAAGATCCTGCAAGCTGAAGAGCACGTAAGACGTCAAAACGTTACCGTCATCGGTTCCATGTTGTTCATGCGTGTTTGTTTTCCCCATAGAATTTCACCAGCAAGACAACGAAAGCTTTGAGGGTCATACATTCCATCAACATGTTGTTTGAACATGTTTGAACTTGACATGGGGAGAGGAATGACGAAGTGGTCGTACATGCCCCGGTGTTCTGACCACGAGTATGTGTTCTTCCAGGAGTGTGACACGACATCTTAAGATTTGGACCACACCAGTGGGTGAGTTGAATCTGGATGTTCCCATCCACGCGATTGGAGTTTTACCCTAAGAATCATTGGACCCTGTTATGGAGGGTGACCTGACCCTGCAGGTTCCGCAGGGGGCCCTTGGACCCGAACCAAACCTTCACCGAACTGAGGGTCCTTGATTCTTAGGGTATACGATGTTTTACGGTTTCTAGAATCGTAGATTCGGAGATAGCCAAGGATCGAACCCTTCGGAGGTCGATCGCCCCATGGAAAGGCAGGCGTTGGCTTAAGGGATGTGAGCTGCGGAGAACCTCAAACCATCCGATGCCTAGATCTTCCAACACCACAGTCCCCTTCTGCCGTTTCATCCTTAAAACCAGCCAAGTTCGGGCATTGGATCATGTACCACCTGACTACTTGGTGGCACTCCTCCAAGTCGGCTGGATCCCCGGTCCAGGAACCACCGGGAAGACCCCGGTTTCCACCGAACCCACCGAACCAGAAGGCGTTCCGGGACTCGTGGATGGATGGCGCAGGTTCGGACCGTTTAGGGGTCATGTTCGGCTCGATTCATCACGCTGGAGTCCGGGAGTGGCAGGAGTCCGACCGGATCGCGAGAGTGGCCCCAACTTCCAAGGGTCTATGGAATCTTCCAAGGTGGGGGGGTCGGTGGTTGGCATTTGCCGGACGGATCCACCGACCCAGGTTGCAGTCCTTCCTTTTCGCCCACGAGTTGGGCCTGGGGCCATGGGAATGAGGTGCATAAGCAGAACTGCTGGGCGAAGAAAGGGAGAAGGGATGTGGGAGGCTCTTCAGTGGCGTTTGAGAGTTTGGTCAGAGTTTTGCGGGGTTTGGGGCTGAAATGCAACAACTTTGTTCAAGGCATGTTCAAGAAAGCCATTGCTCGTTGGGAATGTGAAGGTGGGTGAATCATCATCAAATCATTGCAAGCTATTGCAGGAAGTCATCGTCATATTGACAAATTTGGAGTCGGGTTCTTCAATGTGATCTTTTGATCCCAAAGGCATCGAGGTCACTTAGGGCATCCACAAAGGTCACTGTGAAGAAGTTGAAAGGGCCGCACGGAGCACAAGGGGCACGTACACACCTTGGTCTTTCTTAGTCCCTGCGGATGTAGTGCATCCGGTCCTATCAGTGATCCAAAAGGGCCTTTTGAAATAGGACCTCAATGTTTGAGGAGATGTTGAGGCCACCGTGCCTCAAAAGCGCATAGTTAATTTCTTTCGAGTGACCCACCATTTCAAGGCTTTATTTGTTTGATGAACTTGGTGGGCCGTGGAGATCATCCGAAGTTATTCAAAAATGAAACTAGTAAACATTGATCACATGTCATCTGTTGATCACACGAACCAGTTCTTGCACGCCGTGCGCCGTGCCATTTCAAGTAGCTGCCGCATGTTTGTTCTGAAGCAAAGTGTCATGTGAGACGCATGCCGAGCTACTTCTCCAGCAGTGCTCATTCCACCAGGCAACTGTTGCAAGGGGAGCTCTGGAGCTCTCAGGTCTGTGATCTGGCACTCGTGGTTCAGGGACCTCCGTGATGCTTCATCAAGCTCTGGAGCTTTAAGGAGGAGGCAGAGCGGAGAAGATGGAGAAGGAGAAGGAAGGACACCCATGGCACATAGACCGAAGAGACGCACCAAAATATGCACCTGAGTTCGTCACGCGTCCGTGGGCTGCTTTCCCGGAGCGTCAAGTCGCGTCGAGAGAGACCTCAGACCTCGTCCAGGGTCGATGTTTCCGAGGTCTTTGAGGTGTACCATCATGGTTTAAACCCGGCATGGCCCCCGAGTTCTTGGATGTTTCACATGACATTGCAAGGAACGTGGCAAGCCTTGAAGTGGAATGTTTTGACGTTCCCATCTTCATGCGAGACTGATTGGCCAAGCAAAGTGCCGTTTCCATCATAGAACCATGGAACTGAATGCAAGGCTCGATGAAACTTGCCAAAATGGATCCATGTTGTGTGCAATCATGGTCGCAGATTTGGGGGACACACTTGGGTTTTAACATTTACAACTCTTTCCAAGCCAACACTTTAGCGCAGTAGTTTGCAAAACTTTCTGACTAACTCTTCACAAATATGGAAGAAAGTATGCTGGACACACTTAATACCCCAGATAGCAAGATCAAGGAACAAATCCTCTACCAACAGGTTGTCATCCACTTTCAGAGTCTAGTGAGAGTTGTCCCAGCCCAAAACGTAGCCTCCTTCGCAGCTTTACAGCTTTCGAAAGCCCGCTGTTCTTGCAGCTTCGCAGATGCGTGCGAGGGAAACCAATGTCAGTGCTCCCATTCACCGACCTGGTCAAACCTCCAGTGGAGCACGGACGGGGCAAGGAATTCTTGGAAGAGTTGGAAGATGAACCGCTGGGGAAAAAACTTTGGCTTGCAGTTCTGGAAGAGAACTTGGGGCAGGCGACCAGGATGCATGTGAGGTAATTGAACATGTTTTTTTTGTTTTTTAACGTTTTTGGTGCGTACAAACGTGTTTGAGGGGCACCTTGTACGACATGATACAGATGTTTTGTTCCTTAGCTGGAACACTCCCCTAGACGATTTGGATTCCACTCAATTGGAGCGTTTGTTTTTACGATTCTATATACATGGATGTTGAGTCAACAGTGGGATTGCATTAAAGACTTGTGCACATACTACGTGGTTCCAGATCTTACGATCGTTTGGCGGTAAGCTTTGCAGGAGGCCCGACTCCCTGGATTAAGTGGATCTATAGGTCAAGGCAAAGCAAATTTCATTTTACCGTCTCAGCTCAACCACGTGGATGTCACAGTTGTCCCCCTCTCAGTCTATATGTTTGTTTGTTTTTCGTGTGTTATTTTGTAATGTTGCGAACAACATTCTCCCATCAACAGTTGTTGGTCACAATTTGCTCGCACAATCTGACCATTCCACCGAAAGACCCCACGGCTTCTCTCCTGAAAACAGGTTGGATTTCTGTGCCCCCAGCCAAGGTGGTCGAATTGCTGGCACAAGGAGAGGGGGATCTCTGGGAAGAAATTGTGGCGTTTTCGGCCTAAGTGTCACTGGTTGTTTCTTTTTCCCGCAAGAAAACGCTCAGCTGGGACTGAAGTTGTTTCATGCGTTTTTGTCCACAGCTATAACATGAAATGTAGATCCAAGGACCGCAACCCATCTCAACCCTAGAGAGGAAAGAGTTCAAACTTCCGGACAGGTGATCGGTTTCAAGGATCACCAGTTCCTAAAACGTCCTGATCGGATCCCCCAATTTGTTCAGACGGGACCAGTACAGAGATTTCACCAGACACAACTGGTGGTTGACTATGGAAGATTGAAAATTGAGACTTTGCCCGAGAGGGTCAATCCTTTTGAACAAGACATATCAACACCCCCAAACCCATAACCATCCATAACCCATGGTCTGTGGTACCTTGGTATCTCGTGATGTCCACACCCAGGTGAACGGAATGGCACCATTGCACCATATATGTTGGGTTTTGTCCATGACCTTACCTGTGACGGTCGGTAAACAAGTATCATCGTCAGCTTCATCGTCATCGTCATCGTCATCTTCATCTTCTTCATCATCATCATCACAATCATCATAATAACAATAATAATCACCATCATCATCCTCACCCTCACCCTGACCCTCACCCTCACCCTCACCCTCATCCTCATCCTCCTCCTCCTCCTCCTCAGCAGCAGCAGCAGCATCATCATCATCATCATCATCATCCGCTGTTGCTGGTCACAGGATGTACCCAAACATATACGATTTACCTACCAGCAAAAGTGGATAACCTGCAAAACCTTTTTGGGGCATTGGGGACATCCCACTAAAACACAACAGAAAGTAAAACCACTTGCAGGAATGGTTCTAAGATAGTAACTTAACACCGTGAAAGCACTTCCACAACTGGTCCGATTGTTGGCAGGATAGGGCCGGCATTGTACTCCCTGGTCCTTGTCAGCCAGCTCAGGTTTGAACACATCAGGTCAACGGACAGTGGCTCATCTACACGCGACCTCGCAGACATTCTGGGGTCTAAACATCTTCCCCCTGCACCTTTATCCAAGAAGTCACTAGCTGGCTCTTAGTCTCACTTCAAAAAGCAACTCAAAAACACCTCAAAACACCCCGTTTTCCTCGTTCTCCTTCCTCCTTCCTCCTTCATCTACCAGGCGCTGACGCGAACTGGCGCACCGAGCACGGCTCCGTTCTCTCTGCGGCGCTCGCGGCGAAGAAGGCCGCCCTGGTAGCGCCCATCCTCGAGGCGGAGCCAGACGAGTCGAAGGGACCTATAGGTCTTTTGTTGAAATATCAGGTGAGACTCCTTCTCTCCTTTTGTTCCCCAGAGTCCCTGGGTATAGTAAGTAAATCCGCTATTTAACTGGTGAATATATAGGCGAAGATGTGTTGTTTCCTGAACTGGGTTAGAAAATCCTGTAATTAACTGGTGAGCAATGTTGAACATGTTTGTTTTTCCGGTTCCTTAAGCAAAGTCAAGAATAGGCAGACTATCCATGGGAGCTTTCAAAGGGGTCAACTGATCGGCATATGTTCCAGTCTCATGGTCTATATGCAAACAAGCAACATGCAAGTATGTGTACATGGAAGATCATGGAAGTGGACATTAAGGGACTCATACCAAAGCAGTGTTTTCCATGTACTTTGGAGGGCAAGCTGCAACACCATAAGCTGCACCATATTGGGATCATCGCAAGCTGGTCGATATCCGCTAGTTTACCATTCTGGGGGGTGTTTGGTGTTGCGGTTCAACCTGCATTTCGAGCCAGGGGCTCCTGGAGGCTGACCTTGGCTTAGGGGCCCGAGTCTCTGAAGAAGATCTTGTGTGTCTTCTTATGAGTCTTCCACGGATTTCCATGGTCCAAGCACAGATTTATCCAGAATTCGGCGTCGCGACTCGGAAGACTTCATCGAGAATTCGGCGTCGCCGCACGGCTGGATCAAGCACAGCCTCCTTCCAGGACTCCTGGAAGAGGACTCTGGAACAATGGGGTGACCAAGAGACCCACCATGGGTTGACCCCTGATCGTCCCTTGGTGCAACAAACATGGGCTTTTGGACCGCACCTGTCGGGTCCGCGTTCTGAACGTCGGGGACATGACACATGACCCGCGCGTGGACCGGAGCATGAGACTGAGACATGACCGTTTCGTGGACCGTCCGCGGTTTCATCGAAAGCTGCGTCAGATCAGACCGAAATCGCGTCAGATCCATGTGAACCATGCATCTCCAACAACATGCCTGAAAAGAGCACCGCCACCGCCACTCCGCCACTCCTCCAACCCGTTCCGCCCACCGTGTGAGACGCCAGATCGCCCCCAGATCGCCGCCGTCAACCTCCGTGACCATCGGTTCCGTCAGGCCAAAGCCTCCATTGGTGAGCACGACGTGGGAGCTTTGAGTCGGCTGTTTCGGGGGGAAGGCCCCGCCTCCACCGACACGGTGGAGATCTTGCTGCAACCGCAGGCCTGGGGTGAGGGGAAGTGAGGTGAGGGAAGTGAGGTGAGTAGCTGGGAGTGTTTTGGAGGGCGAAGGCTTTTTGAAGTAGTGAGGATGAAGTAAGTTGGGCGGGTTTGGGGAGGTCAATATGAAGAAGTCGGGTGCCCATGATGGAATTCCTTCGATTTCACGACTGTGGGGGTCCAAAAATGCATCTCTGAGTGGAGATTACGACAGTTCGATAGTGGCCCAATCATTTGATCATAGCAGTTTTCGGTGCTTCGAGGTGTTTGGCGCCATCGCTTTGACCCACCCAACGTCCTCTTCGGCCCCTCCTCCATGTCCGGACTTCGTCTTCGCGAGCGCTAGGGCGACTGCAACGCTTGAGGACGCGCCTGGATTGTGTTTTAGCGCCCAACGACAAGGACTTTATGGGACTGGAAGCACAGACGCTTGGTGAAGGACTTGTTGAAGACCTGATGGAGACTGACAAATACACTCCCGAAAACGATCCCATGGACCCGGGTTGAGGCAGGAATGTTCAGTCCGACCGTGTTCCTCGGTCGCTGCACCGGCTTTCAGGGTTTGTGTTTGTTTTCAGATGGAGTGCATGTCATGTAAACCCGAGTCTTAGGACTTCTCTGAAGTCTCAAACCGCCTGCGTCGTCCTGACAGAGATCAGGAAGGGTCAACTGTTGCAGGGGTGCATGATCTACTTAGCCATGCCCAAAAGCTCGACCCGAATGCCTTTGAGGGTCGGACCCTGAAATCGTTTTGGAGCCGCGAAAGGGCTGCGGAGCGGAGCGGAGCGGCAAGTTCGGAACGACTAGACCTTCTTTGCCGGTAGGTCGTTGGAGATGATGGAATTCGTTGGGTCCTTTTCGTCCTTAGTCGTTGGGTACATTTGGTCCGTTTTGACCGTTTGATGCTCTCGTAAATTTACAGGAAAATGCTCGACCCCTCGACAAGACGCCGTAGAACCAGAGTCTGACACCAGCTCAATCAAGACATTGTCCATTTGCCCACATTGTGCGCTCTTGAACCCAGACCATCCATAAGGGATGCCGAACTTGGAGGAAGTCGGGGTGCCCCTGTCACATCCACGGCCGCTGGATGGAACAAAAACCACCCAACTCCATGTGACTCTTCGTGCAGACTGACCCCATTTTCAAATGACCCCAATGTCTCAATAACTCTTGCAGTCCGTTGGTTCTTCTTGGCAACTGAAACAATTCTGCCAGGAATCTACTCCTGAGAAGCCTGGAAGTCCAAAAATGTACGCAGCCAGGCCCACTTTCTGTCCCTCCCCGGCAGTTCTGGGTCGATTGAGGAATCTGTTCAACACGCCTGAAGTTCAAGCAGAGCTCAAGCTATTGCCTTTGTCCGCAGATCTCGCATGTAGTCCGCTGATTTTACAAGCCCTGGCTGAAACTGCCAATGAAGACACCCTGGAGACAGACACAGTGCCCAGTTTCATCTAGCGCGCTGGTGTTTGTTCTTGATGTTCTTTAAACCATAGTTTGGGTTGCTTGTTGTTTCACCTCCTGGCTGGATGTAGGCCAATGTAGGTGCCAACTGCTTAGCATTAGAAAAAAAGTTGTTTAAGTAGCAAAAAATATGCTGTCGCTGTCGATCACTTAGCCCCGACTTTGATCGCCTTGTCCAAGACTCCAGCAGGTTGACTTGATCTGGAACTGTAAAGAGGATCGTTTAAGAGGAGACCTTTGGAGGGGTTCAACTTGTCCCCCCATCCAACCGACCGAATGGCAGCATCGAATCATTTCGAATCCTAGAAGCCACGGAGAAGCCTGATATTTTGTTCAGTCGAGCTGATTGGTGTTCATTTTTGAACTAGGTACATGCCGTTTTGTGGAGCGCTTGGATTCAACACCGTTGGACGAGTCTGATTGATATTCTCCTAAATGGGGTGAATGTGGTGCTACCTGGAATTGCACATGTTTCGCATGTTTTTTTATGTTTTGACCCTTTCCCCAAGCCTGGAAATCGGTTGCGTTGTTTCGGTGATCATTCCTGTACTTTCATGTATGTGATTCCTGGGAATATTGGAACGCCAGACAATGACAACAAACCAAAGCATCAATTCCTCGAAGATCAGAGATAGCTTTTTGTTCCCCTAACACTCTTGGAAGCTCGTGCTCCCAGAAGATGTTCCAGGTTGCTTTGCCTCTTGTCTTTGATGTATCATGGCCTGGAGACGCGAGTCTCACCTAGCAACTTGAGCGCCGTTTTGGCGGTTCTCTATGCCAAAGAGGTGATTGAATGGTTCTTGGCCTGTTTTCCAGAGTGCCTGTCTTCTGGCCTTAGCGTTGATGTCGTCTGGGATGCCTGGCAGCTGCTTGGGAAGCGTGTGTTTTTTGGATCTTCCCCCTGCCGCGGAGGGGTGACACCTGAAAATCCGGGCCAAGGCTCCCTGGAGACGTGAGTGAAGAACTGGAACATGTTGGTTTCGAAAAGTGTTGCCAAGTGAAGAAAGTAAGAGGTGAGTTTCTATCCCTAAGGATCCAGTCGTACCCTCGTTTCGAAGGTGGGACTGGGGTGGGTGCCAGGAGAGTCCAAGTACCTTCTGAGAAGGTACGACTGGATCCCTAGGGTATGAATGTCTTGTGTCGCACTTGTTGCGAAAACATGGACAGAATGGACCACCTGGTTTCGGTCAACCCAAAAGGTACCCGGGTTCCCAGTGCCATGACTCCCAGCCACGTCTGTCAGGATACGGTCTACTGTGGCATTGGATGGGTAGTCATCAGCAGTCATTTGGGTGTCCTGGACCTCAATGATGCAACCTTGAAGCCCTTCATGGCCGTGTAGCTCGGTTTTTAAGCCTTGAGCCGTGTTTTTTGGCGGAGAGAAATCGTCCATGACCTTGTTTTGCATGTACTTCGGACGCCCAGTTTTGGTGGACTGATATATTCTATATATGACATATATTAGGACTGTTTTTGTTAAATGTTGTTTGGACATCTCGTGCAATGCTATAGTCGTGTTATGTCATGTTGTTTTTACTGTAATTAGATAGGAACTCCTGAACTAGGTGAGCCCCTAGATTTCTCGCCGAAGGTTCAGCTGTCTCGCTTGGCTCCGGATGCTCTATAGCCTCCGCGGGGAAGCCTGGCTGGGACCACGCTTCTTGCCCATCGTTGCAGCGATCAAGGTGCCATGGCTGGTGAGAATCCGATGTGTGTGTGTGTGTGCTGGGTGGTGGCTTCGGAGATGTTTTTCTTTTTTTCTTTCTTCAACTCGTTACTTAGGAGGGTTGAATCCATGAGGAGTTGAATCCACCAAGCAGTATGGATTTCAGCAAATCCTCTTTTAGGGGTCAATTTCATGTCTTAGGGATGCCCAGAAGATCTGCAACCCAGGGGTTTGGGTGGAGAAAGTGTTTAGCCGAAGTACCCCACTCCAAATCTGATATCCTGGTTATGACATCTTATGAGTGTTCAGCGGATTCACATGGATTTGCTGATGTTTCCCTTTTCAGACTCCCTCAGAGGAAAGAGATGGGGACCCATGGACTCAGAGATTGTTTGAGAGCTTGCTGTTGATGACAAAATCCTGGAAACTCTAACAGAATCAAACACGCTCTCAACAGTGCTGCTCCTCCATCTCATGATATCTCCTTGGGAGTTCAGAATTTCCTCCAACAGTCACTAGGGAAGCATGGGAAGCTACATTGAACCAGTGTACCAGTGAATGCTGCAGCCAGGACACCGCCGCCTTCTTTTTTATTACCACGATCTGCGTCATGGCCACGGCTCACGGGTACTACCAGATCGCCCCACGTGCTGAAGATCCATCTCCGATCTTCTCGTCCTTGCTACAAACCTTTCGACTTGGCATTTTGTCAGTGGCATTGGCTACCTTTTGAGGTGCTTTCTCTTAACAAAGACAAAGACTGTTGCGGCAAGTTGGCAAGTTTTGCCCGGCTTATCAGGTTCCGGTATTTTCCAGTGCCATTCAAGAGGTAAATACCGGAAAGTGAGAAGGTACAAGACCAAGACTGTGTTTTGGGATGTTTTTGGTCTTTGATGTTTGCTGAGTTTTGCAGTTGCACCCCCACGCAAACTCCCATGACGACTTGACCAAACACGACTCTTGGGTAAGCCCAAAGAGTGAATACCGGCAGACCATCCATGGGACTGGAACAGTTTCATACATTCATCATTTACCCCTAAAGGTAGCTTTCCTGAAAAATTGACATGTTTGGAATTTACGTGAATTATATTACCCCAGGGCTCCAACCATATTCTCAGAAGGTGCTTAGGCTCCCCTGGAACCCACCATCTTCGAAACGGAGGTGGTTGGAGGCCTAGGGCCTAGGGTTAATAGGCATCCCAAGCCTCCGAAGCCGAAGCCTCGACGACTCGGCGTCGCCTTCCTCGACTGAGGTATTCTTGGAGACTTCGATTTGTTCGAGTTCGAAGGACAAGATACCGAGTACGATCGAGTGGACGCCACCTGGGTGCCCAGAGATCCCGAGCCCGGAGACTCGGCGAGCTCGGTACATAGTAGTAGTCCGGGAACACGGTCATGGTCAAGGTCACTCGGAATGTGCAGAGATTCAGGCTGAATTGAAAGAAGCACTCAAATTCAGGAGGGGGGCGATATCGATCATTGGTGGATCGTTTTTGCGATGCTGATTTTGGCAGTCAGGAAGGATTTTGGCAGCAAAACAACATCTCAACGGAATTGCCAGTGGAGAGATGTCCAAAACGCCATGCTTTTGAAGCACCACTTGTTTCGTTCGGAGTCCCTCTCCACGGACAATTCTGTTTGTTTCTCCCACCAAAAAGTCTGTCCAAGCAAGGCATGGAAACACATGCAGCGTGTTTCCCGATCCCGAAGCTTTCAATCAGAACGTAACTCTCAGCGACAAAAACTCCAAGGAGAGAATTTCATCTATGTCCACGTGACTGGCCAGAACACGGGCCGAAGACGGAAGGGTGGAGGGATGGTGGGAGGATCGTGAGTCGAGGGATGTAAGTCGATTCATGAGTATTGGGGACGACAACTTGCTGGTCCCGAGGATGGGACGTGATGGGACGTGACATGATGTGAGTTTTGTTGTTTATGTTTATTTAACTTTATTTAAGTGTATGTTTTTTGAGGTTGAACGTTTCAAGTGTCCAGGTTTGATCAAGAGGATGAGCCAAGGTCATGAGCTAGATGTGGTTCTTGAGGTCCCAAGGTCATCTCAGAAATGCTCCAAGTCCAAGGTCATCTTCTTCCTGACCAGCATTGGAATTACCGTGATTCTGATGAATATCTTCATCGCTGTGCTGGGTCAAAATTTAGAGCTCTTCCAAGACCAAGCGCAGCAGCTCTTCGCACGCGCCAGGGCCAAGATGCTTCTGGGACAACACCAACACCCTTGGGCCCGGTTGTGGAGGTTTTGTTGCGCAAGGATCAGAAGAAGAACGCGGGACGATGCAAAAAGCTTGAAGGATCCCTTTCAACGCTGCAGCTGCTTGAGGTATGTGCTTTACCGCAGCTTGTGGCCTCTATCCATTTTGGCTGGGGAGCAGGCCATCTTCCGATCTCTTTGGAGTGAATGTTTAAGACGACCCAGGACTGCCTATGTGTTGCTGTTCTTCTGTCCAATGACGTTCTTCCTGTGCTTAGCCTGTTTGATCCCCTTCGGCTGTTGCTGCTTGGTCTTTCGGAAGCAAGGGCTTCAATTCTGGTTCCGGATCCTCTTTCTTGGCATCTACTGTGGCTTGGAGTATGTGCTTGCTTCGCTTGCAGGGAGTGACTGTATTTCACAAAAGGAATCACACAACATACCTTTCCACCCCGACCACTTGCATATGTATATGTGGCGAGAGAAGCCTAAGATAGATGGAATGGTAGGTAGGACATTTGGTGGAAATCAAGAACTTGTGATTCCCAAACACTCAGTGTATGGAATATGAAATAATATACATGTCTACATTGGCTCCTGAAACCACCCCACTATGCAATTATGCCATACATGGAGTGTTTGGGATTGATTGATGGATTGGACCGGATTGAATTGGATTGATTGATATGGAACTATACTCGGGAGCACTACCCCTATGTTGAAGGCCTTAGAACTTGATATGAAAACCAAAACATGAACCAGCCATCAGAAACAATCAGACCTTCGAACGCAAACAGAACCGAAAGAAAAGAGGAAGAACAACCAAGAGCGCCACGGTGCTCTCACTGGCTAAATCATGCTAAATCATCCTCCAGCATCCGGGCTCTCGCGTGCTCTCACTGGCCGAATCTTCCGAGAAAACTCTGAGGCTGTTCTGACGACGTCCTCCACTTTGAGGAGTGGAGCGCCTCAGGATGTCTCATTTGGGTCTTCCTAAGGCCCGACCCCCCGCGGGAGGAGCTGCGAAGCACACGTACTGCCTTGGATGCCAAGATGCAGAAGATGGAGAGCAAGGTACAAGAGATTCTCGAGAAAAGAATTCAGTTGGAGGTTGCTTCAGATGGAGGATTTGTTCTTGGAGCTTTTCAGGTGGTTATTCGAGGTGTTTAGGGGTTGACTGCGTGGTTTGTGGGTGTTTGGATGTTGGAAGCACGACTTAAGGCACGTGTAGGGCCAGTGGGCATCCCACTGGCCACTGAACTCGGATTTGTGTGAAGGTTGATCCGCCACCATCGGCTCCAATCCTTCAAGTCGATTCCAGCGTCCCCCGTCCGGGCGCTTCTGCTTGAATTGATGTCTTCAATACCCCCGTTGGACCATTAAAAAAGGTGAGTTGACCTGGTGGTGTGGTCTAAATGGTTGGGAATGGTAAAACCCATTATTGTATACTAGTTGCTCGAAATCGATTATATACATGAAACCCGTGAAACACCAACACTGAAACAACTTAGACCTAGGCGACCCAGGTCCTAAAGGTGGTATCCTGGCTGGGTGAAGATAAATGGATACATTTTTGCAGAAACCCGGTGGATCCAAGATCCTTTATCCAGTCGACAAAAGATATGTTGTACCACCGATGTCCATGTCCGATACGATATGTCGATGTGTTGACATGTCGGTTTTCTATCGCCAATTGCGATCGATCGAGGATCGATTCAAACGTGCAGAACATTGATGCGAAGATGAAACAGATGGATCAGAAGATGGATGATATCTTGAACTTACTACGAGAGAAGCTGCCTGTTCTTGAATGACTGGAAGACGAATCATGGGTCGATTCTGTTGGCAGGTTGGTCAAGGAATCGAATCATCAATGGAATGGTGGGAGAACGAGATTTGAGGCTATCACAGTCCTCTTGACCCACGGCCATACATGGCTGGTGCAGCCGCTGATCTTCAAACTTTCTTGATTTTGGGGCTCCACTGCCCAAGGCAGAGGTTGGCAGAAAGAATGCAGACAGGAAGGATGATCTTCTTGTTTTCTTGCCGAGCCGTCATAAACCTATTGCACATCAAATGGGAAAGGAAGAGCGATGCTTGATTCCTTTTTCTTTCTTCTGAAAGCAACTTCCAGATTGTACCATGTTGTACCTGAAAGTTTTGGCAGCTTGCTTGCCATACAATTATTTTGTCCAAATTGTGAGTGGTACCGTTGCTACTGCATCCGACATGCCGACATGCTCTTACATGTGTTGCACGATAGCAACGACTGGCGACGACCGAAGGGGCGGATCCGCTCGCGTGGACGAAGCGCCCATTTCATTGGCTCGCCAGGTGGGACGGCGCTGCGGACGAAGGCTACGCAGTCCGCGGGCGCCCCAAAAGGGCGTCAGCAGTGGGGGAACTGGGTAAGTTCGTCGATCAGTGTGCATCGGCTGGTGGTGGGGCGGATTGAAATGGGACTGAGAGCCTCAAGGCATCTAAGTTGAAGATGGTCAATGGATGTGACAGACACAGGTCGGGTCACGGTACTGTCCGACATGGTCGGGTCACTGCCACGGTCGGTCCGCTGGGGTCGTCGGTCCCGCCACGTGGTGTCGTCCGCTTGTAGCTTGTAGTGGCATGCTCAGTCTGCCTGGAGGTGCATGCGGAACATCCCTGGTCGCATGCGTGGGTTTTTTCCATGTGGACCAGGCAGTTGCGGCTTTGATGATGGTGGAGTTGGGTGTGCGCACTGTGGCTGCTAAGCACCAGAGCTCTCCAAAACAAGCGAAGGCTCAGGAGGCCCATGTGAATCCATATATGATGTCAATGCGAAGGAGACCAATGTTTCCCCACTCAATGTGCCTTTGGATCGCGTCATGTGAGGTAGATGTGCAACAAGGTCTAAGACAACTGCAGCTGTCTAGGCCTAGGATCCAACTGGAATACTATCGACTGCTTGCAGCCGCTGTTAAGTTGGAGCAGTTTTCCTGGTTTTCCAGAGGATACCTACCTGAAGCCTGAAGTCTCAGTAAGATCAGTAAGTATGCCTCTAAATGTGTCGTGGCAGTGCGTTCTTTTTTGGGCACGTTCGATGCTGCATTTGAGCTTTTGACATCTATTTACACAAAGGATGATTGAGGTTGGAAGAAAATCCAGTCTAATGTATAAGGCAAATTTGAGGATCGGCCCCTGGAAGAACATCCTTTCTTTCATTTCTTCCGTTTCTTCATAATTCATAATGGATCCTCTTTCAACGTAACCTTTTTAGTGCCTTCACACTCATACACACACACACTCGCAACTTTGGAATTCTACCATCAACAACCTCTCCAAGAAGGGCAGAACCGCTGATTTTGCACAAGGGTGGCTAAAAGTAAAGAACACCTTATGACAGATATTGCAACGATGGCGGCCAATCAACCTTTTGTCTCTGTGAGAAGCAATGATGATGCACACGGGCAGCCAAAATCACAGAGCAACATGTTGTGACATGTTTTGATTGCATTGATCGTGGCGGATCAACCCTAGTCTCTGGAAGAGCCACTGTTTCGGAAAAGGGGTTGCAAAAATTGAAGAAAATACGTTATGACATATGTTGCAACAGTAGTGGTATTACAATGATAGCGGTCAATCAACACCTTTTATGTCTGTTAAGCAAAGATATGTGATAGTGATTGATAGTGTATATTGCAATGATAGCGGCCAATCAACCCTTATTGTCTCTGGTCTACCTTCTATTGTATTACCTTTGTATGCATTACTTGTCAAATCAAACCATAGCAAAAAAGCACAAGAAATGACACCGTGTCTGAAAGGGAGACCTCTTGAGAATAGGAACCACTTGTGAACAACACAACAATAAATGATGTGAAGAAGAGGTCAATAATTAGAGAAGTAAAGAAATAAAGAAAAGGGACACAGCAAATTTAGCGAAGAAAAGAGCAACATAAGAAAGTGCGGTGCAAACGACATTTTTTGACTAAAAATAAAACGTGGAACCAGCATACATCAAGGAAAGGTAGCAGTAGTTAGACACAGGAGCAACAAACAAGCCTTGATTGTGGGCTGACATCGACCGTAACCGCGAAATGCACCATTCAAGGATGGTGTTTGGTGCCACATCGACAACAGGAGCAGCAAAACGAGTCTGAAACACGTCGTCGTGTTGTGTGTGAAGAGCTGAAGAACCACAACAGAATCCCAATAGTACTCGAGGAAACACAGCAAGCTTCAGGTGGATTCAGGAGGCAACACTGAAATAGAAAATCAAGACATATCAAAATTGTTTGGTAGCAAAGAAATGCACACGGCTTTAGGAAAACCAATAGGTCAAGGCCAAGGTTCCTGGGTCAATGAATTATTCAGTGCAGTGCACACGGCTTTAGACGAACCAATAGGTCAGGGATCCTGGGCCCTCCCCACACAAAAAACAATTGTCAACGCCTTTAAAGAACCGTTTCTCAAAAAATCTTGGATTGGGAAAGGTGGCCTCAAGGAAACAACCACAATTCCTGAGAGGTCTTGGGCTGGGACACGAAACAGTTTGTGGATTGTTTTGGAGTTCGAAGACCTCTCAAATGTTTTATTGCCTTGTTTTTGTTTGTTTTATTGCGTGAAGCCAACTCTTGGCTGAGGTTTTAGGCAGTGCACTTGCAATGTCCGAGGTGACTGGTGTACCTCATAATGCTGAAAACTACACCCTGGAGTGCACCTTAGGTAAATACGTAAGATATATGCAGTGAGCCTTGCAGCCCTCCCCATGTAGGCGCAGTCATGCAGTGGAGATGTTAACAAGTTGGTATGTCGACCACAGGAAGTTTCTTCAACTCGGTGAAGAGTCGGATTTTGCCAAATCGCTTGCTGGCCTGGACCGCTGTGACTTGCCGTGGTAGTAGAACATGTGGCAACATGCAGCATGAGAAACCTGTAAGACGAAGTCATCGTCAAACATGTTCGGAACATGTTGACAAAAGGCAACATGAATCCCGAGGTCATTCACATCCCTGACCACAAGTTGAAGACCCAAAGCACCAAGCACTCAAAATAGTGTTGTTTGTTTTCAGTATCTTCAGGCAGGTCCGCGCGCATTGGGGCGATGATGGCCACTTCCCTCCAAAGCCAACAGACAATGGAGGCTGCCATCTTCGGCGAGACACACCCTGTGGTGCTCCAGGGCTATAGAGCGGTGAAGCAGTTGGTTCATGGTCCTTGACATCCACTGCTCGCGGGAAACCGAATTCGATGGGAAGATTCCTCTGGTGTTGAAACATGCGGCCTGGAACACCTGGATTTACATATTTGCCCTCCATCCAGGGGAGGTTGAGGCCACAGTGTATTGGTTGTTCGTTTGATGGCTGTAGATCCGCCATGCCATCCCTTTTGTGATTCAATCCTTGAAGCATCTTTGGCTGACTGATTTGTTTTGCAAATATCGTTGATGTGGAGAATGGCCCCTCTGGAAGAGCATTGTACTCTACCAAAGGGGAAATTGTCTACTTCAATGATTCTTGGAGGGATGGTAACATATGACAAAACCAGTAGATGAAGGAACTGGATGACTGGAAGCTATTTTTGGGGGTAGCATGGCCTAAAAAAACGACTGGCCGCGCACATAGGCATTCAATATGTGTCGATCCATCCCGGTCGTTCCACGCTCGCATCGCTTGGAATCGCTTCGGAGCGCGCCCTTCTCAGGGCACGGGAAGCTCTTGGAATCGCTCCTCTGCCGGCACCGATGTGCCTTGGAGGTGGATCCGTGTCCTTGAACGTCAGGGAACTGAAGGTTCTTGTGATGAAAAACAACACCGAAACTAAGAGTGATGCCATGTGTGCTGCCCACTCATGATGCCATGCTGCCATGTTCTTCAATAAGCAGCCAATTTCGCATGAAACGGAGCTACTGCAGCTGGACCCTGAAACCTAGCACTGCTCATGATCCTGAAACAATATAATATGAACACAAAACGCAATACGACGCAAGCAAGGTATTCACTCTTTGCCTACCCCAAGCTCTTCGAAACCATGTGCAAGACTATCATTTGTAATCTCAAGTACCTTCTGAGAAGGTGTTTGGGGTGTGTGCCAGCAGGGTCCAATCATACCAAACCTGAGGAGGTACGAAGTCTGAGCCCTGGGGAGCACATATCTCCCTCTTCCCTCACCCAGGCCACAGGAAGGGTGGGGATCCCGGGAGGTCCCCCACTTCCGACTGCCAGCTCCAAACCCATCCGCGGAAAACGAACGGCCCGCATCGGCTTGGAGATTCGGTTGGGATTCCGGAGTGGATTTGGAGGGTCTCACTATACCTTCTGGAGCCCGAAAGTTGCTGGGGTGGGACAAAGTATAAGTGCGGAACCCAAATTCAGTGTTTTTTTCTCCAAGGAGCGTCGTCTTCATGCTCACCACGTCACCATGCGACCACATGTGTTACGTCCGATCACGTGTATACTTCGCTCTTTCGTCCCTCGCCACGCTTGAGCCGCTCGGTGACGGTGCCCAGGTCCTATCGCTGCGGCGCCAGGTGAAGCGCCGGGTCTACGAGAGCCGGGAGCCACCAGAGGAGGGACCGCAGTGGAAAGCGAGGTGGGACGTGGGAGGACGACGTGGGAGGTGTGGACGGAGCGGGTTCAGAACACGCTTGGAATGGGAGAAGGTGTGGATGAGAGTGAATTGGAAGGTTTGGGGGTGGAAGTAAGTACAGTGAGAATGACATTCCTGAAGATTGATTCTGACACAAGTTGGCTTGGACACCAATGAACATGCTAGACAGAAAGGGGTTCTGCCTTCGTTCCAGTTTCCAGACGCGGAAGAAGAATCCCTAAATCTGGCCAGGGGGTACACCCTGGAAGAGATCCACATGGACCCTGAAAATCACTGGTTGGTAGAGGAAAACCCTCTTCTACCCTATGGATCCACTGGCATCGTACCTCGGTCATTGGAGCTTCGCCTCCCGCCTACAAGCCAGTCTCAGGGATCATGAGGTTAGGTATGTGGATCCGGCCATAGGGGGGTTCTATGCCCCCATATAGGGGGGTTTTCAGGGTGTCCAATGGACTATCCTACCCTACTTATGTCTCTATTTGCCATAGGTTTTCAGGAGTGTATCCCACGGGTGTGTTCATGTCCTCGACAGGATCTCTTCTGCCCTTCTAGCACGATGGAGGCGCTGTCCAGTGACCGTGATGAGAGTGGCCGGCACTGCCGTACCATACAGACGAACCGTTAGACCGGCAGATGGCAGTCTCACGAACCTTCAGACCTTTACCCGCCCTGCTGCTGCTCAATGTCGGACCAATCGAAAGACCTGAAAACCCTGTGGAGTGACAACAAGTAGATTTCAGGGTCAGAAATCCGTGCCGAAAGCCAATTCCAAGGCGTCTTCCTTGTGGGCAGAATGCGCAAACAACATGTTTGGTCAAGTTCAGAATTTGCATGACTTTGCATCAAACTGAGCCGAGAACGTCCTGCTAGATCTGCTGGGTTTTCTGTCAGCCGAACCAACTCTGAAAAACCGAAGCAAATCGAGCCAAACACGGTCCTTTGAGGTGATCTCCACGGACCTACGGCCATGTCACTCACCGGTCTCGTCATGTCACGTGAACACATGAACAGCTGGAATGGGGCGACCGTAGCGGATGCTAGTTTCGATCCAGGGACCTTTGGGTTATGAGCCCAACACGCTAACCACTGCGCCACTCCGCTCTTACAAAGAATCCAATGCCCGTTTCAGTTTGTATCCGGGCGTCACCATGCTGGCACGTCCAACAGCAAGCAACACCTTGCATACAACTAGTCCGATATCTTCTTCACTTTGCTTCCGCGCCCTGCCAAAGCAATGGATAGAGAGCATAGAAACGCAGGAACCCGTCGTGCTCACTTGCGCCATTTGCCACAACGAGCACCCATCCGATCAACACCCACGAAAAAATCCGGCCACCCGGAATCGAACCAGGGACCATTTGATTCCTGCGATCTCTACAGTCAGATGCTCTACCAACTGAGCTATAGCCGGCTTGCGATGTAGGTACAAAGGATGCTTGAAGGCATTGCGCATACGTAGTCAGAATCTGGCCCCATCTTGGAAGCCGTGACCGGTGTAGGTCGTTCCCAAAGCGGTCACAGCACAGCATAGCGTCTTCCCATGGAGTGGTGGTCTTCTCACCCCTCGTTGGAACAACACCCTCACCCAGACCATCCATGGGACTGGAAGACTTATATACACTTATATACCAGCTCCCCGGTTCTAGAGTGGTTTATAGACACCCCTGACTATGTATGTTCCTGACTATAACACCACCCTTTCCGTGGTGCTGGTACATTTACTCCATTTAAGACCCCAATGTGTAGGTAACTATATGGATTGTCTGGGCCAGGTACAACAAATCCGCCGAATGCCCGAACGGCACCCGGGTATCAGTACTCTCCAGGTCTCGCTGGAGGCTTGGGAAGGATAATTGCTCAGTGTTTTGATTTCAACAGGCCCTAGGGCTCCAGTCGTACCTCGTTTAGAAGTTTGGACTGGGAGGGTTTAGAAGGTCCAGTCATACCTTGCTCCAGGAGGTAACCTCCTCGAGCCCTAGAGGGATGAAAGAAACTAAGACCTAGAGGTCCGATGATAGGCCGATGTCCAGGACGATAGACTGAAGACCTCGGGGTTGCGAGGTAGTTTCAGTTTCGCAGGATGAACCTCCGAAGGGAACGTTCCTGTCCCCACCATCGCAGGTGCTGGCACCGGAGCCCTTTGAGCTTCCAAAGGGGTTGGTGGCACTCAGTCTGGTAGGATGTTCGCAAGGTGGTGTATCTGGGTTGAAAGTGATAAGACCAAGAAGGGTGCGCAAAGCTTGTCAGTGATCAGAACTCAAATGGCAAACTTTTTGTTCACACCCTTGGTCTATGGCCTGCTGTCTTGTGTCAAAAATATGAGTGTTCAAAGCCTTTGTGCTTGTTGCTTGAGGTTTGCAATGATTTGTACTGTATAGTTCCCCAGCAATCTTAAGCCATCTTAAATCCGCCCCAATTGATTTTCACAATAGTCGTTATATATTGTGTGTGTCTTTTTTTATGTGTCCGACCTTCACCGCTTATTTCCTCCATACGTGTCGCTTGCTCGGAGCTACCCCGGGCTGATGCACGTCCAACATGTCCAACATTGAGAAGTTTGGAGGTGGGGAGAGTCGTGGGAGAGTCAGACAGGCCTCGTGAAAAATGAACAGATCCAAAAATGGACCTGACATACCATGGCCCTCTAAAAGTCGACCAAGGTCGATGTAAAAGAACATGACATGACCGATCACCTTGCTCACCTTCCCTTGCTGGCTGGTGCGACTCGTAGGGAATGAGGGAATGATCCTCCCCAGCTTAGGATGCAGCCACCCTCATTTCCCTACTGAGCACAAGAAGCTTGTGTTCACGCGTTCTGCCGTGTATCTGATTGGTTTGCACCTTCACAGACCGAGTGACCTTTGCTCCGGCTGAGGCCCATGGGAGATGGATATAGCTTGGCCTATTCCACCAAGTCACAGGCCCGACTGAGGGCGGGCAGACTGAGGCGTTTGAGTGGAGGAATTGTTCACATCGTCTTTGCTCCACGGTCACAGCCCTTCTTCCTCCCTCTGGTCACGGGTTTTATGTCGCGGGATTCGAACGATCCCTCGGATTCGGGTCCGGTCCCTATTTAAGGTCCATGAGTGTTGGGGTCCATGTGCGCCGTTGATGAGAGCGGAGGACTTCAGAGGACTTCCTTTGAACACCGTTGTGTGGTGTGGATTTTCCCGCTTCCAGGGGAATATCTGAAGGAACGTGATGTTGCGGCAGCTTCTGGGAGCCGCACATTCCAAGACATCTTGCAACAAATCCGGTCCGTCTTTGTCCAGGAGGTTTGGTCGGTGTAGCTTGCTTCGCATCTCTCCGAAGCTCAAGCCAGGCTTCTCGGTTAACGCCAGGCCATCCATAGAACCCTCGGCATTTACATGAGTACTCGGCACATGTACCTTTTAGGCCCTAGCCTATTCGGCAGTGGACCTACTTTGTAAGGTCTGAGGACTTGTAGGGTTAAAAATATATATATATATAATATGTATAAAATTATGTTTGTTATATATATATGAAATATATATTATATATATATATGATATATCTTCCATATACATGGATGCTCTGGGCCCGGTCGGTGAAGTGCAGTCCCGTTGTGTGGGGCTCGCCCACCTGTCAGGTTCAGAAGGCTTTCTCCAAGTCACGCTCAGCCTCCGCAACGGCGCGGAAGATGATGAAGAGCCCTACCGGCGAAATGCTGAATGTGTGGATGCCCAGCTCAAGAAAGTGGAGCTCCGAGTCTGGTAGTTGGTTCAAACGTCCTAAGTGACCTGTATGGAAGGAAGGCAGGGCATCACAAACCAGTGAAACTACCTGGTTGCACTTATTTTCAGAGGTTTGTCACAAAATTAGACATGCGATGGAGCTAGACTTGGATGGGCTATCCAAAGACAGGCAGCCATATCCAATAGTGGCGCTACATCTCCCTTTTTGCTTTCGGTGTCCGCCGCCAAGCTCAGCCTCTGGAGCCGCGCGATGGTCATTGGGGATGAGGAACCGCACCGTCCATTTGTGTACAATGTTTTCAGAGGTTCGATGGCACAAGTAACCCCAAGATTGGCGGTTTCTATGGACCGTATTCGAGATATCTTTTTTGGTGCCAGTGCCATTTCTCACCTGTGAAACCACTGTAGAAAGGGCGGTGTACCCAGATGCGAAGCCTGGACCCTCATCCTCGGGAGAGTTTGGGGTCGAACCCAATCCATATGGGTTTTGAGATGTTTTGAGCGACCAAAGGTCTGTGGGCTTCCCTAGTGATCACTGGGCGAAATTCTGGGTTCAGAGTGGTGAAAGTGGTGGGTAGAGATGTCACACGGTACCACCTGTGTGTTTGCAGTGGCGGAGAAACACAACATAATCCAAGCTGAGTAGCTCAGCTGGCGTTACCATATGTTGCGACTCTTGGTCAAGCAGACGTGGTGGACAAAATCTTTGGCGACTGGGGGGCCTCTTAAATATGGTCAGGGGCGATAGTCTCCCAACCTTTTTCCACCAACCTCCCTAGAACCAACCAGGGGGTTTCCTTCCGCCCCAAACATAGATCTTGTCCAATCCTTAGGTTGCTTCACACCTTCTTTCTTCATGTGTTGCACATCCTGTTCTTCATCCTGTCTTTCGTCCGGTCGATGGTTCAACCGTCTGCTACATCGGTCTCTCGTCCAGGGCTTCTGGTATTCCTCCATCCACCAGCGCCTCTCCGAGGGCAGGCGCGGCGCGACGGCGTGACGGAGTGGGATACGAGCGTGACAGCGATACGGTCGGAGCGCCAGGTGGCATGACACCGGCCAGAATGGCCAGAATCCCCGAAAGAGAGGAAGTTGAGTTATGTATATAAGATGTAGTAATAAGATATATATTATACCAGCACCACACCCAAAGGGTTGTGATTCAATGGAAAATACCTCTTCAGGGGGGTCTATAAACCACCCGAAGTGGGTGGTGCTGGTATAAAGTGCTTCTTTATAGCATGTTGATCAAACATGTAACAGACTGTCTCGCACCAAGACATCGGAAACCAAAACACCGCGCCGCATGGCTCCGCCAGCCATCGCGCGTGTACGCGCGCGCGCGCAAGCGCAAGCGCAGTCGCTTCGAGGTATCGGCCTATCTCACTCTGGGGCGAAGAGTTCCAGGGGAAGTGGAATACCGCCTGGCTGGCCCAGTCGCGTCAAAGGGGCCTGGGTCCGTGGCGTTCCCGGCGGGTCTGTCGTCCCTGAGGTGGACAGGGCGGAGTGTCGTCCCTGAGGTGGACAGGGGAAAAGATGGGTTTGGGACAGGCTGAAGGGCGTGAGCATGTTGTTGGGTCGTTCCTGAGCATTGCATTTACAGTAGTGGTGTTTTTCTTGCATTCCATTGGCCGATCGGCGTCAGAGGGTTGTTGGGTTTCTCCAATGCAGCTTTATATGGATTTTCAGGAACCTGGACCTTCCAAGGGAATCCAAAATGTTCCACGTACTCAATCACCCTGCACACAAATAGAATCGGGTAGTCATTGAGTGGCGACTGTTTGGATGCTGCCAATGCTCGAAAACAGGGTGTCGGAACGGAACCCGTACCCAAACGTTTCGATGGATTGTGAACCAGAGCCAGATCGTTGTGCTTCAAGAAGACTATACCTGGATCCTCCTTTGGGCGGAAAAAAGGTGCCGGACCCTGTAAAAGTGCCGGACTGAAGATCTAGGTATAGACAACATGATGCCAATACGATCCATTTGGACGGTAGAAGAACGGATTGGATGGGACTTAATAAGGATCTTTAATTTGGAGTTTTCAGAGCTCTTTCTATTCCCAAGCTCTAAGGAAACCACATCAAAGCAAGTCTAATGGCCCTTTTTGGTAGACTTTGCCTGGGTGCAGACAGGCTCGCACATCGATCTGTACTGTAGGGATCCAGAACTTCGTAACTGGTCCGGTGATGTGTTCGACCCTGTTCTCTTCGCAGCTTCCATCGTCGAGACGCTCGTCTCCGCCTCGTCTCCGCTCTCCATCCGCTCTCCATCTGCTGTGGCTCTGGGCGCAGCATCCTTCTTGCCTAAGGACTGGCATGACGTGAGCCACATCAGCTCTTCGAGGCCGATGCCGACGAGCCGAGCGGAGCCTCTCTGGCGAGTGGAGCCTCGCGGGTGGGGGAAACGTGGAGGTACCGCGACGAAAGAGGCGCAGAAGGGGCCAGTGATTGAGAGATGAAAGCGTTGGGTTGGCGTTCTTACTGTTTCTGTAGCTCTTGAGCTTCAGATGTAGGGTTATCCGGGTATCATGGATACATTGAGGCTGGGCAAGTCTGCAAGTCTGAAGACAAGTCTGTTCTCGGGTTCGGGAGTCCCGTGTTCTCATGGAAGTCCCGTGGTGATGCTGCTGTTCCGAAGCATTTCTGCAACATCGGAGGTTTGGAACATGGACGTCCTAGATCTTGCTGCGGTTGGTGAAACAACTTCTTCCATCACGATTTTTTAGGGCCAGGCATATTTGTGGATTGCGTGAAACACAGAGAAAAGAGCATGAAGAAGCCAAGATCCTCCTGAAACCTGGCTGGTTTCAAGACGCCCCTACAGCCAGCCAATCCACCCGAAGCAAGCCACTGCTGTCAGGGACAGGTTTCCTTGGATGCGGGGCAACATCCAGTCGGGTAAGCTCAGGGGCTTCGGGTGGGACGTAGCTTCAGGGCCGAGTGGCGATGTGGCCACGAGGGAGTGGTTCTTTTGGAGTGAGTGGCGTCGATTTTTTCGGTTTCAATCCCTCAGGTGGATTTTGGTGGCATCATGGTGACGAGGAGGGAGTGAGTGAGTGAGTGAGTGAGTGAAAACCACCGGCCGTATGGGATTTCACGGTTTAACGTCGGGGCGCAGATCGCCCGGTGACCTGCGAGTGGTTCGTGGAGCATGGCGTGTTCAGTGCGGGTGTACATCTAGTGGTTGGAGGGGGGTGGTTGCTGGCCAGTTGTGTATCTCAAGAGGATCACCACTGTTTTTTTTTGTTTCAGTTTCTCTTTTGTTGCATGTCATGTTGTTTTCTGTTTTTCCACGACGGCTCATGTTAACTTTTCATGACAGCTCTTGTTTTTTTTTTTCACGAGAGCTCTTTGTTGACAAAGCTTGACATATACATGGAGACATATAACATTATTTATTGATATAAACCGGCTGAAATCTGGAAGTCAAATGACACATGGAAAAAACTCGTTCAAAACATGATTAAGTTTGATGATATTCAGACCTATATTAAGCGCATCCCATGACTCTCACCATTCCATACCTCTCTCCACATTGAGACAAAGCAACCGAGGCTGAAGGAGTTCGTTCCAGACTCTCAGGACCGGTGATCTAGGGCGCCCAGACGCGAGGGGTGGGTGCCAGGGGCGGCAGTCCGAACTGGCAGTCCCAGACAGGTCGTGTTTGGGCTATATCATTGAGTTCATTGATATGAACAACATTTATCATATATAGTATATATTACATTCTAAGCAGGCATACCTGGAGTCTCTCTGAGGATTTCTATTCAGGTCGCCTCGCGTCGACCACCGAAAACCACCCAGTCAGTGGCTCTCAGAGAAAGGCTAAACGAAGTATCTATAGTTACTATTTTGAGGACCCTTTCATACATTGTTTAGTTATGTCTTACTTGCATGTTGCAAGCATTGCTGGATGTATTTTTTCGACGCCCTTGAAATTGTACATGTTCAAGGTGGTCCAAAAATAGACAAATGCATGATGCACAATAAATTATACAGTGCGCGTGATCAAGACAAGACTTAGAGATGAACGCAGCATGAAGTGGATGAAGAAAGTACAAGAAGTATCTAGAATCAGAATCACTTTATTAGTGGAGCCCCTTAGACAATGTTTAGTTATATATATGTCTTACTTGCAACTTGGAAGCATTGTTGGATATGGTCTTCGATCCCGTTGAAATTGTATATGTTTCAGGTGGTCAAAGTTACCTCCAAATATATTAGAACAATGCTTGCAAATGAATATAACTTGGACACCCTGAAACATGTACAATCTCAAGGGGGTTGAAAAATAGAGTGAATGTATACAATGACGAACTCAGCAGAAAGGGGATGAATAATATTTAGATAAGTGTCGAAAATCATTCTATTTCTGGACCCTCTTACAAATTGTTTGCAAGCGTTGTTGGATATTTTTTGACCCCCTTGAACTTGTACGTTTGTCAGGGGGTCCAAACTATACTAATTTGCGGGCATTTGGTACAATAAACTATACACTTGTAACCAGCAGGTGTATATGCAAAAATAATACACTATACAAATGCAACCAGCTGATGCATATGAAGCATTCATGAAATAAGAACTGAGACATAGACTGTTGAGGAGTCGTTCGTTTGCCTTTCATGTTGGTGATGCAAATCAGATGATAATGATAAATCTAGTCAGGCCTAGGGCCTAGATGACATGTTCCGTTTTCATGAATGAGATTCTGCACTTTCCCAAGTATGAACGTTCTCCATACGGTCGCTTCAAGGGGTCAGATCAGATGTTGATTCTAAGGTGGATTTGGTGCCTGATTTTTGCATAGCATAGCCTTGTCTTCAGTGACAAGAGACGCCCAAAGTGGCCCCCCGGATCTTGGAAGCTATGGTTTGCGTTTGTTTTTTTCCCCTATGACGCGTCCCATAATTCCGGGGCTGCCGCCATCAAAACTTTGCCCGCAAGGTGCAGTAAAGATATCTCCGCCACCGGCTTCTATCTCTTGCATCGGAGTGGGTGTCAAAATGCTATGCAAAAGAGACGTCCCAGAATTGGTGCTTGGAAGGGAAAGTGGCGATTGTCGGTGGCGGCTGAACTCAGCGACAGTAACATGAGATGGACGAGGATTTGGTCGCAAGAACTTGTCGCGCAGCCCGCGCTGTACATGCCGGTGTCACTACAGAGAGGGCGATCGACTGGTACTTAATTAATTCGCCTCCATATTGACTTTGGTGCAGCCTGAAGGATCATCATGAATGCAAATGCAGCACGCACGCAGACGCACTTCAAAATATAACTGTTGAGTGTGAAGGCCATGTTTCTTTGTAGCAATGTGTGTGTGTGCACATGTGCACTGTTGCTGGACACAGGCAGTTGCAGTCAAACTCAGCCGAGAAGTTCAACTCGATGTGGCCCGCACTGAGACGTTCGACTGCTTGGGGCAGCGGATGCATCCCATACCTTCTTTGAGGACGCATGTTCCTTGTGTCGCCGGCTCTTAAAGCCGGATGCCGCTCCGGAACCCAGGTATATAGAGATCTATGGTGTTTTTATTCCTGAGTATTGGGTTCTTGGATGTTCGGAAGACATACAGCCATTGGATCGCGAAGCGTAGGCGAAGAAGCACCCACAGGTGTGGGTGACGCATGCTTGGCTTGGTGCAGGGAATTTCCTGCACATCCGTTCAAGTCAGGGAACCACATCCTGATCCAAGGGACCAGGGTACCATTTCCATGATGATTCCAATGGTCGTGTGTTTCTCGGTTTCTCATAAGTTCGTCGTGTGTGGTTGCATCGTCGGTCGTCGGTGGTTGCATCGGTTCCTCAAAAAAAGGAACGTCATCAGACGCATGGTGGAGATGGATACTTGGGTTTGGCCTCACTTGTTCACTACATGTCGTCCTCATGGCAGACCAGTCCAGGACCAAAACCGTGTGTTTCGCCCATGTTCGAAGCAAATGTCGAACCTTGAACCCTGAAGAAAGAACCCTTTGATTTCTTGAGTTTCGTCGGCGTATATAGACATTATCAATGGCTGGAAACTGTGTGTTTCCAGTTTGGATGTTGCGTTTCTGGACCTATAGGATCATGTGAATCATGCAAACACGGCAAGGTTGGCATGTTCTGTCCCAGCCATCGTGAATCGATTGCGTGGGGACTGTATGGGATTGACGCAAAACTATTCCCTAGGGCTCCAAGTACCTCCTCAGAAGGAATTTGGACCCTGCAAACCCACCTCAAACAGCTTCTTAGAAGGTACTTGGAGCCCTAGGGATTGGCATATTCCATTATGTTATATTCCTTAGGGTTCCAACCACATCGTCAGGTTCGGTGCTTGGGGTGGGTGCTGTTGGGGGTCTAAGCACGGAACCTGAGGATATGGGCCAGGAACCCCAATAGAACCTAGAATATCCACTCGCATGTACCGATGATCACTCCGTGCTCCCACCGCACCGTGCTCCGGTGCGCCAGGGCCGGACTCGAAACGTTGGGCCGCTCAACGACGAGAAGCAAGGGCCCTCAGCGGTGATTGGGTACATTCAGAGCATCTCAGAGCGGACTTTTCATTCGACGCGACGTGTCTGGGACGGACTGCCGCCCCAGAAAGACCCCGACTTCAACCACCCCAATGTATGTATACCAGTCCCATGGAGTGTTTGGGATTGGATTTGTCATTTGGTGGATTTACTATGGTTCTTGAGCACACTTTTTTCGCCAGTGCCTTTTCGCCAGTGCCAGTGCCATCGATGTGAGTCGATCGTTTTGGTCCATGTTTGTTTCCCGATCAAAGGATCCGCTAGATGCCAAAGTTCTGAGGTGCGAGGTGGCCTTTTAATGCATCATATAAATGGATGTTCATGTCCGATGGCTAAAGAGATTAAAGCCGACGATCCAAAGAGGATTCATTTCCCACGCAAGCGATTCGGAAGCGATTCGGAGCTCTCTACAGGTCTCGGTTGGCTCACCAGTCGTATGGCTGGAACCACATCCCAGCCAGCCATGAGCACTAAGGAACCAGGGCCCCATCGGGGGTTTGGTTTCGGTCTGAAGTCTTTCCAACCGCTGGGGCAAACCTTGCCCTACTCGATCCGTGGGTTCGCCTGGATCGACTGGCCCAAGTTCCTTCCTTTTTGAGCGTCCGGGAGTTGGACGCTCAGAAAACACATTTGGTTGAAAGGCACCCTTGTTCTCAGGTACTATCCTTTTCTGACAGGCCATCCATGTCTCTGTGTCAAAGAGTACTGAGTAGATCGTATATTATACCGTAGATGATTTATCACTTGCCCGGGTTGATGCTTCGTGCACCCCCGACTTAATGGCCCCCACATTGATCAGGGTCTTCCAACTTGTCTTGTGGTCCCAGATTCTAGAGAAGTGAGTTGGATTCATTCCCTAAGGATCCAAGTACCCTCTGAGAAGGTGGGACTGGGGTTGGTGCCAGGACAATCCAGTCGTACCTTTTGAGGAGGTACGACTGGATCCTAGGGATTGGAATCATTGGAGATTCTGAGATGGTATGGGTCGACCCACCAAGTAGCGAAGGACTTGGTTACAGGGTCCATCCTCCGATCTGCACCGAGGTTACCGGAGATCATCCGCTGCGGCTCCCAATGCCACGTGGGCTGCACCGGTTCGGAGGCTTCATAGAGATCCCCCGGGAACAGAACCACATGGAACCTGATGGCAGGGACCACCTGGCAGACCATTTTCCTCTACAAGCCGGGCGGTGGTGTTCAGGTTCCGTGTGAATTTGCCAGGGTGTAAGCATCCCTAACGATCTCGATGTTCAGGAGGGTGGCTCTTCTATCATTTGGGGGTCTCGATATCAGTTGGTGACGATTGGAATTGGAATCGCAGATCCTTGTGAATGTGTCTCATAAGTCAGTTGAGCAGATCTCCATCAGCCTTCATTCAATACTTGGAGACTATGGAGACTAACTAAGTCAGGTAGCTGCAGCTAGCTTTCCTTAAGGACAATCCCTAAACCTAAGGAGCTTAAGGACTCATAAGGACTCCAGGAATGAGTTTCCTTTGTAAAGGATTGAGAACCGACGTGGACCGTGCCGACCTCCAGAAGGACTCCTTCAGCGCACTGCCTGGTCAGTGGACAATGACGATGACAAGGATGTGGTCACCTGGACCCACCCGATTCCGATTCCGAAGAAAGTTTGAGATGTCAATTCGCGACCCCAAAAAGTGCCATGCTGGACCCAAAAAGTGATATGTACGGTTTACATTAAAATGATATATGTTATACGAGGGGGTGTCTCCTGAGAGGTAGACTTGGACCACAATTTCCCTGGGACAAACAATCTTGTCAGGTTTCCACGGAGGATTGGGCTTCAAAAATCAGCCTGGTCAAGCTGAAGTGTTTGTATGGCGTTCAATATGCAGCAAAATGTCCAGTCTGCAAGTTTCCGCCATATGTCCGCAGATTTTCGCCATAGACGTGTTTGTCAAATTTTGCAAGTTGCAGCGCATCCAAAGTTACCCCTTCATCAAACCTTGGAATGCCCAAAGTTGAACTGGAGAGTCTGCTGTGTAGGGTTTATTAGGGTTTAGGGTTTAATCAATTCTGCACCAGTATTGTGTCCTGTGCAGGTCAAGATCCCCAAAGAGCACAAACAGTGACATATTGCACTTCTTTTGGCATGACAGCGTCAAAAAGCTAATTGTTTGACCTATGTAATGTGCTTTATTTTGCATTCAAAGGTTGCTCCAGGCAGGAACCCTTCCGAATCCCGCAGGGAATTCTCACAACTTATATCACAGAAGCCAACAAATCGATGAATTCCAAGTGTAACTTACAGATCGTGTGAGAGAGGGAACAGCTCATGTGAACAACATGTTACCGCCCCCTCGTCTTTTCCCCACTCCAAATCCGGAGCTGGGTCACCGTCCGCCTGGTCCAGAGCCAGCGCGAGGGTCGCCGAGGTATGATCCCCTGAGAGTCCGGTGGTGAGGTCAGGCCTCAAAAGCGCTTGGCTGTTGGGGGGTGGAGTTGAGATAGGCTGTATCCCTGTGGGGTGGAGTTGAGTTTGATTCTGGTACAAATCCATGGCAAGCTCCAGGGAAACAAATATGCCTCAAGTGTGCAGCCAAAAAAGGCTCCAACAACTGATTGGACTGAAGAGTGAACTATGGGGAGACTCCTACCCTCAGACTTTTCATTTCTGGGATGTGAACGATGGGGGTGCAGAAAGGGTCACCATTGTAGAGTTCTTTTAAACCCATGGCAGAAAGGTGCCTTGAGCGGTTCTTTCGGGATGCTCTTTCAGTGTTTTTGAGCAATCTAATTAATTGGCTGCAGTTTCAAGCTTGCCTACCGAGCCGGACAGAAACCACCTACTGAGCCTTTTCATTTCTCACCATAGGAAGCCTACTGAGCCTGAGGGCACCTAAAACACGTTATATATGGGGAAGACTGATGGGAAGACTGAGGCAGGCTGGGCGACTCGATTAGTTGAAAAAGTTGTCCTGCTGGAAGAATTGGTTTTGCCATGTCTTGCCAGGCTACTCAGCTACTCCTCCGAAAGTCGAATCAACTCACCCCCCCCCTCCCCCCGGCCCTTCTGCCGCGCTTCCACGCGTCTGACGGGAGGTGATGGACCAGCACCCGCGCCACCGGAGTGCGTAGATCGCTGCGGTGGCGCTTTCGTTGCCCGAAATCCCATGACTCGATTGTCGCCCCTCGGAGAACCGAGCGGGTTTTTGGAAAGGCGACCAACTGCTGGTGGCCGTTTTGGAGCGAAAGGCATTCAACTCACTTAAATAGGTGTTTGTTGTTGTGTTTTATTTGATTGATTTGTTCGGATGTTGCTGGTGTGCAGTGTATACAACTGCTGTTGATTTCCAGGGATCCGCTGCAAAGATGTGTACCAGGAGTGAAACTTGATTCGAATAGTTTTTCTTTCCCTAAGGATCCAAGTACCCTCTGAGAAGGTGTTTGGGGTGGGTTTGGAGGGTCCAAGTACCTTTTGAGGAGGTACTTGGATCCCTAGGGTTTGATAAGCAACAGAAGATGGTCCGAAGGCTGATGCCACTCGGTCTATGGCCTCGGATTTCTGAACTTGTGATGTGGGCGTCTGAATTTTCTGCCACCAGTGGCACGTCGCTCTGGGGCCACACATGGCTACACCACACTGGACCCGGCAAGTTCTACAACCACCGGGGTATTCACCAGTTGATCAATAGCTTCTTAGAACGGTTTTCGACTGATCCCGGCTTCAAGTAAGACTATCACAATCCGCTACAACCCCCAAACCATCCCAAACCTCCAAATCCATTGTCTATAGCGGCCACTTGCAGGTAGGTCGCCTTCTTTAAGGGCGGAGTGACCTACCCAAGGCCTCAGACACCCCGAAAGGGCTGCGTCTTGGCTCGGTCGCTGCCGCGGGCTCCGCTAGCCGGGCGCTGCCGCCCCGTTCCGGCGCTCGTCGGCCTCGGCGACGTGCTGCGAGTGTCGGAGGGGTTCACAGACCCGAGCGGGCCGCTTTTCCTGCCGCTTTTGCTGTGTCAAGAGGCAACATGTCATGTATGGTGAATCGCGAATGTGTCGATGTTTTTCATGTGCAGGTTTATGTTTTGTTTTGGGGGACAGGTCTTGAGATGTGCTTGCATGATCTTCTCTGGGAAGCTTGACACAGCTCCCGTGGCCATTAAAGTGCTAACATGAGCCCTGTGGATCTAGTTGCGCTGGCCACCAGAGTGGCCCCTTGAGGCTGTTTTCGTCAAACTAAGTGTCAAACTATGCAGTTCCATTCAGTGAATCATGCCATGAATTACACAGATTTCATCCTTTTTTCATACCACTGGATCCTAGCTGGGCCAGTAGTCGGTCGTCCTCATTTGTTCTCAAAAGAGATGAAAAAGCAACGAACCGCAGCAACGAACCGCACAGCGGAACCGTGGAGATCACATCCGTACAAGACATGCAGTGCATGGAAACTGATTGAGTGGTTGTTTGAGATCCCGAAAGGGATCCGTTTTCGTAGCGAACCTCAGGTTCGGTACGAGTGGACCCTCCAAACGCAGCTACAGTGGACCCTCCACAGAACCGTCCCCTCAGAGGGTATGTGGATCACAAATACACTCCCTGCAACTATCACGGAGACCAAACAGGGGGCTGCCATGCACTTGCATGTCAGTTCCAGGGTGAGTACGTGTCAGTTCCATCCAATGTCCATTTTCAAGGACGCTACTAGGGCTCCTGGCCTTACAGGAACAAGAAGCTACGAACGGACGGACTCAACTTGGTGATGTTTGTTCTGGCTCGAGCATTGGGCGAGGCTCCGAGGTTCAGCTTTTCATCCTTTGAAACGAAGAAGTTTCGTTGGGTCTGACCTCTACAGAGAGTAATGCATTGGGTCTGTCCGTTGCCTGTAACTGTCAGTAAACACCTGTAACTGTCAGATACAGGTTGTCACTGATTTGTCACTATTTTGGACTTAAGGCCTTTACATGCCTTTACTAACAGTTACTAACCATCATCATCCACGGTTACCGGTAGTGGGATAGACCCAAGAGTAATGCATATAGAAAAAGTGAACATTGGTCGATTCTCTCATCAGATCCTTAGTTTGGTTGCTGGCCACACAGCCCAAATGCTGGCTACACCTCCGATTTCGGGTGCTTTTTTTTTAATGTTTTTGGCTTCTTAAGCCATACAGAGATGTTCATTTGAGATCACGCGGGTCTGTGCGTCTCAAGAGGGATCCCCCTAACAGCTTGATGCATTGCGAACCTTGCGGTCGGCGGTGAAGCCTGCAGCTGTGAAGCCTTATTGGTCACAAGACTTCTCATTGGCAGCTACACATCTACATGCTGATAAGCAAAACATCAAGTTGAGGAAATGAGTCTCCAAGCTTTGCCAAGATGCCTCAAGCAATCCTTTGCACCTGGCGCCAAGGACTCCTTAGGCACCCTTCCAGACTCCAAACGCGCAAGGAGTCTGGCAGTGACCTGGCCTGCCTTTGGCACCGGCGCCCTTTTCCTCAGTACGTGCCATGAACTTTTGCCCCTTTCCTCATAGTCTGAGGGACCAGGCCTGGCTGGCCGTGGGCCTCGGCTGTGGAGTGCTCCTCATGCGAAAGCTTCGGATGAAGGAGGCGCCTGGGCGAGCTCTGAAGAGCTCTGAACAGCTGAAGGGAGTCGAGACGGGAGGCATTGGCTGGGAAGTCCCTTTCAAAGATGGAACGATGGATTTGGAGGACGTTTTGCTACCAGAAGGGTCTATTAAAGATGTGCGCGTTTGCAACTGCGCAGTGGTATTTGGTCGGGTCACTCGCATGTATAAGGGTGGTGAATGGTGGTTCAACAAGGGTGTGGGCGGTCACATCCCATGATGAGCAAAGCACATGTCCAAGCAAACATGTTGCTTTCTTGCAATGACTGCTTCAGTTCGATTCCTCAGCAAGTACGTGCAGATCCAATTGGCGCCATCACTGACCAGTTCCCGCATTCGTGTCCCATGCACTCCTGTAGCCTCCGTATAAGCACTGCAGAAGCACGGGCACGGCACATACTCCGTGGCTGGCCACCTTGGTGCACACCCCGCCTCCGTCCCGTGCAGACGCCGCCATCGGTGCACGTGCTGCTGGTCAACGCGAAGGCGAGAGCCTGCGCGGCGCTGGAATCCAAGATGATTTTGAGGGCTGGTATATAATATATCCATATATATCCTGGTATATATCCTGGTATGTCATACCGGCCGGTGCTTTCACCCGAAGTGTGAGTCGGGCATATGACTTTGCATATTGTTACATGCTTTTACGATTCAATCGGGGCGTTGAAACGGCTTGGTGACGGCGTGGTGATGTTGGGGATGTGATCCTCGCGATCGCGAAAGAGGTGAATTGACCGCATGGAGGTGTTGGACCAACCAGCAAAGCTCGATGCAAAAAATGATGCCCACAAATGCGAAGATCTTCCCAATGTTTTTTGTTTCCGTCACAGCATGTCACAGCCTTTGTGTGGGGAGCGTCGAAACTTGCCCTCCAGAGATATATCTCACTATAGTGCTGAGACCTGTTGGAAAACCACGTCCAACTGAGCCCTGCTGTGAGTGCCTTGCAGATCTCCACTGGGAACTCGCGCCGCGTGAGGTCACTCGAGTGAAATTCCCCACCGTGTTCTGGGGTATGACTTGTTGGGATGAAGCGATGGTTTCTAGAAGCTTCTGCTAGAGAGTGAACCATACAGGAACTCCTCACCCGCTACCTGGCAAAACCTTCAGCATCTCTACCACAGATCCGGAGCGATTGGTCCCTGGAGAAGTTTTGAGGTATGACTTGGCCTCCCTTTGTGTGATTTTGCCTGTCCAAGCCCGGTCCAAGACCAGTGTTGACGACCTTAGACTGCGCAGTTTGAGTCGGTGGATCACAAGAAGAAGTTCAAGCAGATTTGGTCCAACATCGCCAACAAGGTGAAGGAAGTAGAGCCCAACTGCCTGTTCGAGAGCCCAGAAAAGCCGCAGTTGAACACATCACCTGCCATTTCATGGGTGTCATACCTGAGGTCTCCAACTAGATCACATGCCGAAGCCTGGCACAAAAGCCCTAGGTTAAGACGGTTTAACCCTACAAGTCCAGGTAGGCCGTGTTGGTCTACCTGGTTTGACTGACCTCATGGAGTACTGGTTCGGCATGTTCCCCGACCCAGGTCTTGTAAGGTCCAACGGATCCTCACTACATCTGTCTCACTTGGATAGAAACCTTATTGCCAGGTCGGTCCTGATTCCCCCCGAGTTCGATGCTTCGCAAAGCCTCAAGGGGTCTGTTTGCTTACGTGGTGCGTGGTTTCGCTTCGCTTTTCTGCGCTATACCCTGCCGATTCCGAGCTGGTGAGCCGTCACCTTCAGCTCCTTCGAGATCTTCACCTCCTTTCCACCCCGTCAACCGCGCAGAACCAACCGGCTGACGACCCGTCAGACACCTCAGGCCGTCTGAAACAGCCGAGGTCCTACGAGTTCTGCGACGCGGTGGAGGATCCCACCAAGGCCATCATCTATGAGCGGTACTCTCCTCGAAAGATGGGTGGAAAGACGAAGGTATAGTCAGTATAGTTACTCTTGATTTGATTCTTCAGACTGGGGGAGTGAAATATTAAGAGTTGACATGGATCTTTCTCTTAGGAATCGGTCTCTTGCAGCAAGGATATCAGTGGTTTGAGCAGGCTTTGGAGCCCTTCGGGATCCAAATCTCAAGCTTTCCTTTTCGAGCATCGAGGTCATTGGCAGGCGGCTGCTTCGGCCTGGCAGAAGGCTCACCAACAGGAAGAGGTTCATTGAACTGAATTCTCCTTTCTGGCCTCACCGGGCCCTTTAGCGGTGTCTGCGGGGAACCACCGTTCAGCATCTTTCTCCTTCCAGCTGTGGGGCACCTGGCGGTTTGGTGGAACAGACCCAGCCGGCTGGGACAGACCTGCAAACGCCGAGGTACGTGACGCGTGTAGACTTGGATGGACCACACCAGAAGACACTCGAGGAGAGGGACGGGTTTCTTCCTCGGCAGACCTGGGCCCTGGGCGGGGTTTCTTCACTCTGCAGTTCATGCAGAACACGCTTTTCGACACACGAGAAGACGCGGATGTTGAGCGGAGCGGGCGTGTTGAGCGAGCGGAGCGAGCGGCCGCTGGGCCAATCAAGCCTCTTGCGGGGCCTCTTGGTTTGGCGAGTTGAGGCACCAGATTCCTTTCGCCAAGTCCCCCAGACTCTGAGAAAATCATGGTCTTAGTTAGTTGTCCTCACCCTTTGTGAAGTCCAAGTGAGGCTGGGCCAAGCATGTATCAGTTTCCAAGATCCACCCCCACCTTCGCATGGCGACGACTCGACGTGACTCGGCGGCAGACTCCTTCCTCAACTAGGAGTGGAAGGCGACCTACGGCGAGGCCTTGGGAAACCTGAAGTTCAGTATGGATGCTGGGCTCAACTACCGGGGGTCCGGTGCCCAGACACGACGATCCATGGGACTGCTATATATATATATATATATAAATGCCGCCCCATTGACCCCACAGTCCACCACCCCAACTGATTTGGCAGTCCTATGGCAGTCCCATGGAGTGTCCGGTGCTTTTTTTTCCCCATCGGACCGGTCCGGTGGCGTTCAGCATGTGGCGCGCCCGGGGTGGGTTCTCCGCGTGGGGTGGGTGAAGCATGGTGAAGCCGGTGGGTAGCAGGTCCGATGTGGAGTGTGGAGGGGCGTGAAGAGACGACCAGTGACCACCATGGACCACCCATTCGCTTGGATCCAGTGGCACCTCTTGTTTGCAGGTTCATGGACGTTGCTACAGGTATAATGAGGGTAAATCAATGAGATCACTGTTTACTGAAATCATCCAGACCCCTGAAACAGGTTTCAAACAGAAAGGCTGGATTGTTTCAGTGAACTGTGAACCACTGCTTGCTGTAAATGGAACAACGTGGGATACATGAGCTGCGGGAGAGCTACTGGATGTTTCGGTGGATGGTGTGGAAGTGGGCACCTTGTCGACGCTTGTCCTGGAAGAAGGCAATTAGACTTTGAACCTGGCCATGCCCTAGGGCTCCAGTCGTACCTTCTTAGAAGGTGTATGGGGAGGGTTTAGAAGGTCCAAATACCTTCTGAGGAGGTACGACTGGAGACCTAGGGATGATCTTGCCGGGTTCGCTGGATGAATCAATGACTCGATCATCAGTTCCGAGAACCCTGCGAGCCATTGAATCATGATTGGTCCAAGTGATGAAGTGGACACACGTTCTTTCCGCATGTTCACTTCCCCCCACATACTTGTTTACAGGCATCCTGGCCTTGTCAAAATACTATTCAAAGACTCACAGCCATCCAGAACTTGGTTCGTATTGTAGTTCCTTTCTTTTCTGAGATATAGACCAAGAGTTTGACATGTCCATTCGCCAGCTGGCCAACATATGCAACCCAATCCCTTTTTGACTTTTTGGACACGGTTTTTAGAACCGGGCATGCTCAGAAGTGTACATAGTGTTTCATATTGTTTCCAAGGAATCAGAAGGAGAGTTCCTTCTGCAGCGGACTTGGAAAAAAGGCACAGACAACACTGCAGCAAAAAAAGCACACACTTGGATGGGAGTTCCCTTTGTCTAGCCATATTAGGGTGCTTCAAACAGCAGTGCCTCTGTGTTCGTTTGTTCCGCACATTCCGCCGGAAACTACGAATTCAGCTCCGTGGTATATGTGTACCCTAAGAATCATTGGACCCTCCTATGGAGGGTGACCTGACCCTGCAGGTTCCGCAGGGCCCTTGGACCCGAACCAAACCTTCACCGAACGGGTCGGGTCCTTGATTCTTGGGGTATACGATGTTTTAGGGTCATGTTCGGCTTGATTCTTGGAATAGGAAGATTCCGTTCAGTCGCCCCGGAACCCACACGAAGAGGCGCCGATTGGATGTGCTAGGCGGCGGATGGGCGACACAGACAAATAGCAGGAATGAAAGCATGTATACCGTGGTAGATCCATTGCTGTACAACTCCGGGTGTTTGAATTGGGTCTTCAGAACGCCGGCGCTGTTTGTTAGGAGCTTGTCAACTATGTCGAAAGCAATATTGGCTACATGGACAAGTGAGGAGATGAAGGGCATTGTGCCGATCAAAACACGTAGCGATTTCACGGTGTGCGCCAGTTTCTCCGCTGGTTCGTCGTGACGTGGAAAATTGGGGTTTCCATTGAATCATGAAAGGGAGAGCAAGGTCATAGACCGCCAGAGTTGAAGTGGAACACCACGGCCCTAAGAAGATGAACCTAGGAGCAATATGGCCTCCAACCTATGGCCGCAATGGCCTCCACCCTCCTAGCCGCGATGGCCACACCCCTAAGGACCAAACGTTCGAGATCCGGTTCACATCCTGCGTGGTTTCAAAACGGTGTACCATCCGACTCTGGGCTGGAATCCATCAGGCTGCTTTCGTTGAGTTACACATGTCGTTGTCCTTTAGTTGCGCATGTCGTTATGCTTTGCTGGAGAAATGGATGAATCCGCAAGTCATGTTATCAATTGAGGAGTGCTTGAGCCAGTAGGTGCAGGGCTGGTGCAGGGCTTGTGCAGGGCTTCAGGATCCCATAGGATCCCGAGTCCACAACATGCCCACTCTTTCGTAAACTTTCGTCGAGGATGTTCAGCCAAGCTTGATGGGGTACCCAGATATACCTGGGCCCGACTTCAAGTACCTTGGAAAATGGGACATGACCCCATAAAAAAAGACACTGACAGGTACTTATATACTTGTACCCATTGAACCCGAGGTACGAGTTACGGGTCGACTCCAGGCACTGAGTACTTGAATTTTCCTTCCGTTCTTCTTGTTGTTTGGACTTGAATATCTTCGGACCTCAACGACCGAGGGGTCCGAGCGCGGAGAAGGGGCGGTCCGAGTGTCCGAAACGTTCAGAGTGTCCGAAACAACTGCACGTCGGACTGTTTTTTTTTTTTTTTTTTTTTTTTTTTTTTTTTTTTTTTTTTCGCAGGTCGTTCAGGCTGAAACGGTTTGGCCCTGACAGCTGCATATTGCTGTGATTTTTGTTTGCCACATGACTGGATGGAACACAGACAGACAAGGGCACCTCAAAAAATTAGATCAAGTGTGGCCTTTTCTTTGGAGATTAGACTCAGACTCTTAGACAATGTTAGACCCTAAGAAGACTAGGACCGGCTAGGTGTGTGAGAAGAGCTCACAGTGGGTGGGAGTTATTGTCTATCTCCAGACTGCTCGCAGAGTTTTTTGGCTCTAAACATCGTCTTGCCGCGAGATATTCTTTCGTGCCCTTGGCAAGTCAGCAGGCAGGATTGGATCTGGGCATACTACAAATCCTGCAGAACATATTATTCCAAGGGAAGCCGAACGGCCGGTAGTGTGGGGTAGTCCATTGGACATCCCGACAGGAGGGTCCTGGTATTATTCCAAGCGTTTGAGGTGAGTACTTTGGCAACCGGGCCGACGCGTTTCTCTCGTCGCCAGGAACGTCGAACGATGGGCTTCATGGAACGCTTCGCACGCTTTTGGCTGCACCGCTCGGCGTGCCCAGTGGCGGCCGAGTACGCGTGGGCGATGACGAAGGAGCTGACGTCCTTATACGTCCTTTGCATGTTGTTGACAGGTCGATACTCTGAAAGAAAGGGGATATGTATGGATATGTCGCGAACTTCGCGCGTGGGTCGTTTGTGTACCATGGATGCCTCACGAGATCTCACGAGGCAGGAAGGGATCATAAAGTCAGACATGACATTTGAGATCCCCGGTCTATTAGCTTGGCTGAAATGGGAGTGGCTAGAGGACCTGGGGCCATTTTATTTTGATTTTGGTCTCTGACCTCACTGCAGGCATGAGGTACCATGGAAGGTTGGGTACCCTGGGCCAGGCCTAAATTTATCCAGGGCCTGGGTGTGCCAGCGTGCAAGCAATAAAGACTAGTTGATGTGTTGGGTACCTACCATTTATATAATCTAAACCGTGCAAACACTTTTAGCCACATGTCTCTTTGTAGAGCTCAAGGTGCTTGGATAAAATGCAAGGGACCCAAGAAATTACAGCACACAACATTACAAACACTCAAGCAAAACGTGATTTCAGCCTATGTTGGGTGGGTATGTTGTTGTTGTTGTTGTTGCGGTGACTGTTGTTTTGGCGGTGGTGGTTTGTTGTGTGGATGTTGTTTTGGCCACATGTCCAAATAGACACCAGCTCATTTGGCACGAAGGGTTTGCTGGACTATGAGTAGTCCGTAGTCAAACCAGCACAAACCAGCATGCGCCAGTGGAAAACAACCTGAGGAGTGTGCTGGCGCTGTCCTGCAGTTGGGGACCTCTCATGTTATCTCTGTACTCTATTTTTATCCAGAATTAATCTTGGGTCATCCCTATTTTTATCCTGGCCTGGAGCGAGGCGTTTTTGGAGTTGGGTGATTTTTGGCTAGGCTAAATTCATTCCTGCTGGAGTCAACATGTCTTGGGTACTTCCCTTTCTATTTTGTTTTATATTTTTAAAGCCACTTCTGCAGGGATCCAACCCCATAGTGAGTAGTAGACCGGGGATATTTGAGCGTGGCATGAACGAAAGGCAACGATAAAATTGCCAGATTCAATGTGATGTTGGCAGGTTCGAAAAAATCAAGTGTGGTGTGGAGCGGATTCTCCTTCATCCATTTTCATCCTAGTTCTGTCGCGCAACAAGTTCTTTTGCTCCCACTGCAACAGTAGTGAGTAGTGGTAATCACACCCGTTTGGGGGCTCAAATAATCCCAGAGCCAGCTGTTTGCCGTGTAGCGCGGGACAAGAACTTCTTGAGATCCTAGCATTTGGAATTGAAAATCTATATATGAAAACTGTTGAAAGAGATATTGTTTAAAACATGTACAACATGTTCTTTCAGAACGTGTTTCGATGTCTTCTCTTCCACCACCATGGTGGCTTGACCACCGTCTTCCACTCGCGGTGCTTCCAACCACTGCGAGGCCACACGCAACTGGTGGTGCGAGTGGTCGGGGACCTCGACGGTCCGTCGCCGTGCAGGGTTCCGCGCTGTGTTGATTTTTGGGCGAACAAAACATGGAGAGCAAGGATGTGGAGTTAGTGGGGGTTAGTGGTGCAAATGGTCGACCCTTGTGATGCGTTGTGATGGGTGAATGAACAAAAGCAGAAGTTTCGTGAAAGTTCTACTGCGTCGATGGCTAGACTCTCATACCACTTCCAAGACGGTGAGCTGAGAAAAATTGACAACTCCGGATCAAGGGAGAGGTTGGAGGGATTACAAACCCTCAACACCTGTGGGGTGGGCTAATATGACCGAACTTTGCTTGGCTTTGGTGATGAATCATATTTCCCTATATGGTTGGTTCTGATATTTATCCGGCCCAGACGCTCCAAACATTCTGGTCGCGGACCCTGGGAGGTTCCTGAAGCCGACTCCATGGGACTGCCAGTCGTATGGCCGATCAGTTGGGGTGGTGGGTTTGGTGGTCGTCCGACGCGGCGGGGCGGCAGTCCGTCCTGGCAGTCCCATGGGGGGTAAGCCAATCCAAAGGTCCAAAGGACCCACCTTGCACCTCCTGGGACCTCCGACCCGTCGGACCGTGTCTTCTCCGAGGCGGAAGCCAACGCGGGGCGGGTCCTCGCGATCGCGGGACTCGCCGGGGCACCCAGTCGAGGGGATGGGGAGCTGCAGTTGCAGATCCAAAGTTTGATGAGTCGGGCTCTCTAAAGGCAAGTGGAGCTCGGGTTTGGGGTGATGAATCATATTCTTTAAGATTTGAAACGTGGGGAACGTGGGGGCGATTGAAAGAAGAGTACATGAATCGATATATGCGGTGAGAAGAAATTCCTTCAAGACTACGTCATTCAGGTCGGCCACACCGGATCCCCTTTTGGGGTCCGGTCCCCTCATGAAATCCTCACTCATGAAAAGCGGAACCCAGTGGCTACTGCAGACTCTTGAGATTTCAAAACATGTCAATCCCCGAGCCGAACCGAGCCTGGAGAAGTTTTACAATCCATGATCATCTGGGAGGGGTATGTGAATCAAAAGTCTACACCTCGGAGTCCCAGGAGATCCTCTTCGTGTTTTCCGGGCCACGGGATGTCATGGGGTCGCTTGCGTGGTAGGCGTGGTATGCGTGGTATGCGTGGTGCGCTGACCTGAAGGTCCGAAGATGGACCATCTGGACCCGAAGTTCCCAAGATTGACCATCTAGAGGTACATTAGAAGGATTCCCTGAATTCTATACAGTTCGATTCATCCTAGCAGGTCTCCCGGCAGAAGAAGTTGAAGGATGCAGAGCATGTGCTTCTTCATAGAGTTGGTGTTGCTTTGAAGAAGCTCAGGAGCTAGATGAAAAAGAGCTGTGCCAGTTCTGTGTAATGGAATTCACAACACAAGCCCATTACTGTAGACTATCCAAAACAAAACTTCAAATGCCACCCAACATCACAGCAAATAGCGAGTCTAGAAAGCGAGTTTTTTCTGGTGCTCTACGATGATTCGGAATGTCTTCCATGAAGGATATACACTCCTGCAAGTACTCCTGTTGAAGATATCAACGTACCAACAGCATCAGCGGACGGAATATACCGCACCCATGGGTCAGTCATGGGGTGCCTCTTGATCCTACCGAGCCAACCACGGTCGACCAGTTCGGTGACCAGCCACGTGTCTTGCTTCGACGTCCGGTCCAACCACCGGGTCATGCTTGGGGTGGCAGGCTTCTGTCACAGCAATAGTGTTGGGTGCACCAGCTCCACCAGCTCGCCCCGTGTCTTCGCCGACGTCCCGGCCCAGGCTTTTGTGGCCTTCTGCGTGGAAGGTCCGTGGTGCTCGGAGTCGGATTTTCCAGAAAAACACCTGGTGAAGTGCAATGGGCAACGGACCCCTGCAAGGCTTGGAGGTTCATGGGCGATTCAGAATGCCCAAACAAGCTTGGTTCATTGGCTGGAGAGGTTTGCAGAACGGACGGTTTTTTGAGACCCACAACGACAAATCGCTGGGGGGGTTCATCATTTGGTACCTCGACCCAACACGCATGATAATATGAGGATTTTGGAATGCTCTCGGAGGCTAGCTTCGTCTAGATTCAGTTGGTACCCTTTGACTCACTAACATTGAAGTGGAAAACCTGTTTGTCGAGGCAATCAACGATAGTATCCGGGACTTACCTGTACCCACACTGGGTACCGTCCCATGTTAATCAGTTAGTATCAAGTTTTTTTTGTTTTTCCGGGACGGACCCCCGTCCTCGCAGACCAGCACTGCCGCCGTGTGCTTTTTCCAGTCGTGCCAGCAGCAAAGATGTGGCACTCAAGTGCTCTCGATGATTTACTTGCATCAGAGGATCTTGGGGCTTTCATGGGTTTGCTATCTTGATCAACCCAACAAATCCAACAAGAATTTCCAGAAGTGGTTTGCCTCCCAAATTTTGGTTATTTACCAATTGAATGAAATATGGAGGAATTGTGAGCCTTCTGTTTGGATTATTCAGACATGATAGGATCGGACATAGGCCGAAGCAGCAACCCCCCAGCGAAGAGGGACACATGCTCAGACATGCTCCCAAAAAGGAATCTAATCAATTTTGCTAAATCAGTATACATTCTGGGCGTCGCCGCCAATCTGAACTCGGCATCCCTGATGCATGTTTCTTCAAAATCCATCTTGGCGAAGCAACCCTCCGCTTCGGAACATGTTCCAAAGCTTTCAGAGCCCAATCACCTGCCGTTCGCCCAATCACCTGCCGTTCTGCGAGACGAGCCGCTCGCACAGTCTGCTGCAGGGATGATCGGCCTCCGTTCGGGTTCGGGCTCCGACAGGTACGGGGCGCGGCTCGCGGTGAGCGCGGCTCACGGTGAGCGCGGTAGGGGGGGTCCTTGTGATCTCGATGGAAGGTACTCAGATCAGGAATGTGTGTTTTCCCTACTAACTCAAGCCACACCACCTGAGCATCAAAACCTACTGTTGAAGATCAAGACAGGATTCTCTCATGTGGAACCACAGATCCCTGCCCACGCTTGAGCCAAAACAGACCAAAAAGCAGGCAAACAACGTAAACACATGAGAGTATATGGACACACATATAGCAGCTCCTCAGGATTCTTGACAGAACCGGTTTAACTCGTTTTCAGATGTTTTCAGACACGGCACCTGTACCCACCTCACTGAGTAAGGACAAGAAATCACCATCGCACCGAAATCAGAGAGGTTAAGAAGTGACCTGAAAAAAAACTACATTTAAACAACTACTGTACTGGGGTACCTATAGGACAATCTATAGGGTCCTTCCATGTCCTTCCAAGCCTTTGTTGGCTCCTGCTGAACGCTCCTTTCCTTGCAAAGCGCCTGCGAATTTGAGGCGAGATGCGGAGCCGCAGCCAGATTGCTCCCAGGTCTTTGACTGGCACCTCGATACACCAAAGCATCATATGCCCTAAAATGTGGGGCTGGTGGCACGTCCTCAGGTTCGGTGGTATTCGGTGGATGCCGTCCAAGCACCGAACCTGAGGAGCCCAGGGCCACCAGCGGAGCGCAGAGTCCAGGTCTTTGGATGGTGGACCTCCGAAGTCGTCGGTCTTCGTCTCTTCGAGTCGGTTCGTTCGACGGCGTCACAGACGTCAGGCTTCGTGGAGTGGGTTGGTCCGGACTGGAGACACCGATGTCATGGAGCCAGAGGTCTCAACACTTTCAGATTGAGACTGTTTGGTTGGCAAGTACCTGTGGTCAACGGTGGGTTTGGAAGGTGCAGAGCTGAAGCGGCAATCCTGGAACATGGGTGCAGTTCAAGACCCAGACACTCCATGTATGGTATATTTATATACATTGGGGTGGTTTTGGGGGTCAATGTAGGCATATATGGCATACATGGAGTGTTTGGGATAGTTCATTCGGAATCATATGACCAAAGGCTCCGAAGAACTAGCTGATCATGACCCACAACCACGAAAAAAGGATTTGGGACCCTGGTCCTACCCACCCTTGAGGTCTGAGCTTTTAATTGTGTTCATTTGTTTTCATGTCATGTGATGTATTGTTGTTCTTCCCGGGGTTGGGGGGAAAGAACTATGTTGAGATACATTGAGCAAAATAGCTATCCTCAATCCCAGGCCTGCAGTAGATCGAACGAGATCCAGCACCTTTAAGGCGGAATCTTTGGAAAACAACATCATAAAGCAATGTCGTATGTCCTTGAGAATGTGACTTCATATATGTCATATATACTCTGCACTAGTGAGTTGGGACTTGTGAAATGACTCCTAACTCCTAACTCATCTGGGGGGTAATATATATATATATTATAGTCATATAGTCATATATGACTTCATATGTCTTTAGTCATATCACATGTCATTGAGAATCCTCTCCGCTCCGGCTCTTCATGCACCTAGGCTCTTCATCGGCGGAGAGAGGGCGGCCACGCGACTGGAGCTGTTGCAGAAGCTCGGATGCGCGAGGATGGAGGGGGGTTCTCTTTGTTGGGCCGTGCTCCGGACCGGTCACCAGGTGAGTGTGGGTCAAAACCCCTCCTTGACCGGTCACCGTTAGCCCAGCGGCTTTTCAGCGTTGAAACCCGTGAGCCCAGCTGGAACGGCGCGGGACCGGGAGCGTTTGGGGGCAGGTGCTGGAGCTGGAGGCCGTCTAAGCGACACCACGGAAGGGGTGGTTGGATGGACCGAAAAGGATGGAAAAGGGGTGTCCATGGTCAAACTCCGTGGTGGCAGTCAAGTGTGGCGCGTGGCGATCTTGAAAGGTATCAATTGGGTCTATCCGTTCTTACCTGTAACAGTCAGTAAACAAGCAAATCACTATTTTTGGAACAAGGCCTGGCTACATCATCATCCACGAGAGCACAGAGTGTGAGATGGTCAGCTTAATGGTCAGACTAAGTCAGACTCATCCTTTTCGATGTTCAGTCAGGGGCAACGCCTGGCAGTCACCTAGTCTCACTGGAACAGTTGGGCCTTGCGTTTCATGTATCACTATAGGCGTTGTTCTACAGGTGCCATCCAAAAGAAGTCGACAGCAACAGCAGTGAGAATAAGCATATGATCGAGATGCTGATGTGTATAACATGCCTAGTGTGGACTTCTGAGATCCTTCATTCTTGACATGCTTTGCAGGTTCTTTTTTCAAGGCCCTTCTTTGGCTCAATTCATCCAGATCCCTACTTTCAACAAGGCTCATCAATCGCAACCTCCCTTTCAATTTCAGCAGCTACTTTAAGATCCCTAGCTTCGAACTTGCTTGATCTCCACTCTCTTTCTGCAAAGAATCAACAGTCGACTCCTGTGAACCGACAACCCAACCCACTGCGGTCGGGGCCAAGGAATCGCATCACTCACGTGTTGAACTGCTGCGAGCCTGGACAGCCCAGCCGGGAGCAGTTTGTGGCGGCCCACCAGACTGGAGAGTTGCCTGGGTTTGGGGGTTGTTGGTTGGGGATGCAAGATGATGCATCCATGATGCCGAGATCTCGGTTTTCCGTCGTTCTTGCGGTCAGTGTGTGTGTGTGTGTGTTTAGGTGTCCCAGTGGTTCAATTTTGGGGTTGGGACAGCCAAGCTGGTATTCTCTACCGCTTTCGAGTACCCTTTGACTCACTCACATGGAATTGGACCTTGTTTGGTATTTGGAACATGGTTTTCCCAGTGGCCATGGTCGATTCCCACGTGAGTTTTCGTCTGCGTGTTTTGCTTGTCTCACCTTTTCCCTGTCGGTGCGTTCGGTACCCTTGGCTCAACAGCATGACTCATGGCTTGTGGAATAGAGTCCCTCACAGCCTGGCAGGTTGATGTCGGCCTCCTCTCCGAGGGCGGATGCTAGGGATTTTCGATACACCGTGTGACTGTAACGTATATATAGTAATGTATAAGAACTTTGATATCACTCCCAATTTGGATTGTAGAACCTCATCATATGGGTGGTTTTATAAATCAAGGTTCTACATTGGGGTACTAGACCCCTTAAGCTTGATGTCGGCCTCAGAACGTGTTCATCTATGAGATGGAGCATTGGCCCATGAAGAGCCCCAATGGCTTTCAGGCATCTTCCATTCTACAGCAACCGCACCAAGAACCAGAGGCTGCGTTTGAAGGCGAGCTGCCTCCAGTGCGCCCGGGCGGACTCGGGCTGACTGGTGGCAGCCTGTACCCTCTCCGGATGAGACTAGAATTGGAGGGCTTAGTACCCTGCAGATTGAAGAGCTTCTTTTTTGAACTCCACCTGGAGTTCCAGAAAATGCCCTACACACAGAATGGATCAGAACAAGACAGATGCCGAGGTGGCGGGACTGGTTCGGATTTGCTCGGTGGAAGCGACGCACCCCACCCCGCCCCGTGACTCCGAGGTCGATCTCGGTCGGAACTCCTCCGTCGGCAGGACAGCCGCAATGAGAGTTTATCCACCGAAATTTATGTGGCCTTCAAATTCCTGGACAAGGACCGCGTCTTCGGTCGAGCGGTCTATTTCTTTCATTCTTCGTGATCAGGCGTTAACCTGTCTTTCATTCTCTTATATATTATTTAAGCTTATATGACAATGACAATGACCCAGCATTTAACTGTAAACTTGCTGGGGGCCAAAGGCTAGGTTAAAATATATATTGTCTTAGCATAAATCCTAAGAAAACTATCTCTTGAATATAAGGATTTTTGCAGGGGATTATTTGGTTCTGCCCGTCCGCGACGGTTTTTGTCGTCTCCCGTCGGGTTCGACCGGTCGGGTCCGCGTGGTTGGTTTGGTTTTCTTCGCACGCACCACGGGAGCGATGGATGGATTTGCCGAAAGGTCCAGTCAATCCGGGCAAAGCAATATACGCAATATAGCCGGTCACCTGTGATTGAAAAGGATTAAAACCACAGACCATCACAGACCTATACTCCATCTATTTTTTTATGTATAAGATGTTACTGGGATGCACTGGGCCATGGAAGGGACTTGGGGAATGATGTAAATCTTGGAAATTGGACGGGAAGCAGAGCTGGGAGCGCTGACGCGCTGACAGAAGCTGCACTGATGATGAAATCGTACAGGTGGTATGCCACTAGAAGCCCCAAGACCATGCAGATTCACTTTCGAAAGCTAAGACACCATCGTGGGTGCTCTCCAAATTGTGTGCAGAATCCATGACAGAACTGTTGCTGTCCGACCGCTCAGGACAGTTCTGTTCAAAGTCCTACTCGATGCATGATAGATGCATGATAGCTTCCTTTAGAGCACACTCTCTATCTCTCTCTCTATCATTACTTATAAGATAACATAAACATTGAGTATGCACTTGGTGTATAAACTGTCTATCTAGTACTAGTCTCACACACAATGAAAAAGATTCATTGGTAAATATAGAGGTATCACTATAAAGTGAACTCTTGGTGTTTCCTTTCGACGCCCCATTCAGATCCCGTGTTCTTCACCATCCAATTCGGCCGGCGCGAACGAGGTGCAGGAGGAGAACGGCCGTTGTTTGGTCCATTGCCGCAAGGGCGCCAGTCGCTCGGTCCCGGGCCACAGACTTCGCGAGGTCTTGGCGCCGGTGGTCGTGGCGGTGGAGAGTTTAGGGACCGGTACGGCCGCAGGAAGCAGGGCCAGAGCAGTTGCAAGATGGCGAAGAGTGGTTATGAAGATGAAGTAGAAAAAGAACATGCATGTTGGTATGTCCTACAGGTAGCTTGTAAGCCTGCCATATATCAGAGCCTTTTGAATAGTTTCCTGATATCCATGTTGGCATCCTTAAGTCCTTAAAGCCCAAAACACTCGGCTGTCTCAGCTCAAGGCTTCTTGGAACAGCTCATTCCCCTCCAGGATCTCATTGCCCTTTCGACCTTTTGGTCGGGGAATTCATCCATCCGTTACTTCATTGGTGTCCCGGACCTCGAAGGCATGCCGTATCCCAGACACGATTATAATGGGACTGGCATAGTGACTGGGTGGTTGAAAGGAGGTCAATGTAGGTAAATATGCCAGTCCCATCAGTCGTGTTTGGCTATCATGCCCACGTCTGTATCTTTTTTGTAGCAACGTTTTGCACGTGGTGTTCCTCATTTGTCCTCCATGTTTTTGTCCTTATGTCTCTATCTCTCGTCTCGCACACCCTCAGGTGGCCATCGTTCTGGCATACCTGGTGCTGCGGCTTCGCACCGAGCTCAGACCGTCGTCGCCTCCTGGGTTCGGCAGCCGCTGAAGATGGACGCTTGACACATTGAATCAGACAATGTTTGACTAGAGTAACGACTATACCCGTTAGGGCTCCTGGCCCACCTCCGTTTTCGGTTCGATGAGTGCTTGGGATGGGTGGATGCCGGGGTCGAATACCACCGGTCACCGGGTCGGAGATGGGCCAGGAGCCTACACCGCGATAGAAAAGACCTGAGACTGTTTTCCGTTCTTTTCAACACCCACGGTCACTGTTTTGGTCAAAAATTCGCCCAAACGGTCCACCCGTAGCAACCGCAGCCGTTGTTTTTTTTGCAAACAAACAGAGCCTGGCGACTTGACGCCGTCCCTCGGTGTCCCATGTCCCGCTTGGCGCGCGGTCGGCCACCGAAGGTTTGAAGCAACTCAGAGAACTGAGTGTGAAAGCACTTGTGGCAAACTCTTGCGCCGGAAGAAGTTCCGAATGTTGGTTTCGATACGTCTCCATCGTACTCCAACTCAAGAGGATATGTTCTCCCGATATTTGCAGGATCCTTCTTTATGAGCTTGGCGTGGGGGGATCATGTGACAGTCGGCAGTCAGCGCCCTGTCGTCAATCCACAGTCGTCACCGAGAGTTTGTGGTTCAGCCGATGCGGTCTGCTGGTTTGCCCTCGGCGTGTTTCTTCGGTTTGAAGCAATTTGAACGAGCATGGCCTGCTCGAACAAGCTGCTCAAACGACCCTTTTGGCAGATTTATCCAGGAAGGATCTAGCCTTCCTTTGCACCAGTACAAGAAGTCGGTTGATTTGGTGTGAAAACGTCTAAACATCATGGTGTATAAAATCCGAGTCAAATAAGGATCGTTCGGTGAAACCCTTAAGACAAATACTGGTAGCAAGTCCAGGGCTTAGCTGTTTCGGAAGTATGAGGATTCACCCCCCAAGGAGTAAAATCTGGCGGTTGCAGTGCTCCGCTTCAAGGGCAATGTAGACTGTTGAACCAATTCGCGAAGGATGAATGATGTCATACTAAAATATGTAAAATCATTGCAGGCCTTTGAGCCAAATCCAACCGTCTACATGTGTCTACAATATGTCTACATGATCGTTTTACACAGTCTACATGGAGGTTCAGCCTTGCACGACGAAGAACTGTGCCACGTGCCACCTGTTGGTCGTTTTGTGGTGCCTCTCAGGTTATCGTCTCAGGGATGCCTGGCGGCTGGTTCATTCCAAACGTCCCGCCCGGAAGCTCTAAGGGGTTGAAAGGAGCTGAGGGAAGGACTCTGATGATAGGACTCAACCTCAACGGTCCACCGTTTGAAGTGTATGTTTTGGTTCATACGGATCGTCTAACATGACGGAAAACATGCGAAGATCTTAGCGGAGTGTTCATACGGATGGGGCTGGCTTTTCTTAAGCCCAGCTGTCGGCAGTGAACTACAGTATGTACTTGCAACCCATTTGACCATGGGTGACCCGGGAGGTCAACTTACCAGGGAGCTCCAGTTTTTGACCTGATTTGATGGATAATTCTGGCCCTCCAAGGTTGCACAAAGATCAAAGTTTGACTGGAAGACAACCGGGTTCCAAACTGGTTTTAGATGTTTTTAGTATAATATGTTCACGAACTTAGGGGACTCCTTTCCTGGGAGCCTGCCTATTTCAAGGTACGTTAACATACACTAAGAAACTATGCTATGCATCTACTCTGCAGGTCAGTTTGACCTCGTACTGAACTTGATCACAAAAAACAACACAATGAACTAAGAGACTAGCTCCATCAGCTTTTCAGCACCAGTATTTCACTGGGTCAGACCTAGGACTCCACCTATGAGAAGGTGCTTTTCGAACCCCCCGCGGTCCCACCCACGGCCCCCACCTGCTGGTCTCCGGCCCAAGGCCCGGAGCGTCGAGAGCGTGAGGTTCGCGGCGGCTCGGACGGTCTCCCAGGTGGCACGGCCAAATCGAGGATATTGCCGCCAGCTTTGTGATTTTGAAGAAGATTCTCTAGGCACGTGCGGCGCGCTGGCGCGGATGCGGATGGGGATGGGGATGGAGTAGATGGGTGGGTTTAGTGAGTACAGTGAGTGAGAAGTGGCGAAAGTTCGTTTCTTTTTTCTTTCGGGGATTTTGACTGACATGTGGGGCGTTCTTTCTTTTTCTGACATGGGCAGGAAGACAAGTCTTCTCGGAAGGTGTGGGAAAATAGGAGGTTCCTCCACTCAGGGTTTCCTCATTTGGGGACTGTAACATTGTGATGATCATTGATCATGCATGTTTTTGCATAAAAAGAAGGTGCATCCATCAAAAGGTGCTCGAAAACGGATCCACTGAGTGGATGCGCCACCTTTGCTTTTCCAAAAGAGACGATCTACCAGAACCGTGCTCCTGGCCCACATCCTCACAAGGTGAGCCAGGGGTGCTAAGGGGGGGTCTAACCACCGAACCTGAGGATATGAGTTGGAGCCCCGGGGAATATACACTCTACAGGTCGTGTTTGACCCAGTAAAACGTGGCTCTTCAGGCCTAGTAACTGCATCGCTACTAGTAGCATTCTGGAAAACTAGTAGCGATGGCCTCCAACCTACTTGCGAAGGCCTCCACCGAGCATAGCGTCCTTGTTATATAGTAGTTAAAACCTGGTTGAAACCCTAGGGTACCACAACTCTGTGCTCCGCGGCCGTCTTCTCGGCCGTCTTGACTCCTCCGTTCTGCCAGGCGAGGCAAGCATGACGCCGAAGGATTTTCATGCGAGCTGCGATGACTAACTGACCGGGGCGTAAAAAAAATCCGTTTGGCTGGACATGAGAAAACGAACTGTTGGGCGTGTGTGGTGTTCTTTACGAACCCCTAGGATTCCAACCACCAGTTTACTGAACCACCAATTGTTTTATGCATTTTACACTACAAAACGACCAGGTCAACCATTAGTTTGATGATCTTGGAAGCCCAGCGGAACTGTTAGGATGGTCGTGCAGGACGCATCCCGTTTCACCACATTTCACCACTGCGTTTCACTTTGTGTCACCGTTTCACTGACCAGGCCACACAGAGGCATGCGAAAGGGAGCATTTTCCGTTCTTTTGAAAAGAAACATATTATATACCTAGCGCTTCCTGTCTGGGTGTCCAATGGTGACCTATAAGCAGTGTAGGGTTGTCCATTCATAACCCCTTGGAAGCAGCTGGTATATACTTGCCATTACTTGTCCCATAGGCTCCAGGACTCCAGGTACCTCCAGAGAAAGGTCTTTGGAGCGGGAGTATTTGGACCCTTAGGCTTGTCATCGCTGAAGCACCGGGTCCGCCCTGGTGCTTCGCCCTCACTCGTTTCGGTCACGTTTTCTGAAGGTGTCCAACCTTTCTGCAGCGGAACTTCAGTCAGGAATAGCTCCGGGTTCAGACATGCTCGTTCGGGCCACCGTCGAACATCTGAAGAGGGCCTGTCGTCAGCCACTCTCCCAGAGCTGGTCGCCCTTGGTCCATCGGAATCGTTTGCCGGAGTCGTTGGTCATGTTTTGCGGATGTTTCCCCGAAGTAAATCACTTGGTATACCGTGATGTGCAAAAGAAGTTAATCCACTTGCGAATGTAGGATGGCAACGCAGACCACATATAGCATCAACCTGACGGCTGTGTTTGTTATGCGCGTAAGCACGATCAAGGAACCCATGGTGGTTTCTGTCAAGATAAGCACTAAATCCTCCCGTGGGTCCTCCCTTAAAGCTACTCGATCATGACCCTTCCAAGAAAATCCACAGACTGTCACGAACCTTGCCTCACCGTCGTTTTGCCCAAGCACGGAGATACGTCCAAAAGTAGACGTGGAAGATGGGGCATCAGTCAAAAGCATCATCATATGGATCTGGGAAGAGACAAGGTGCAGCCATGAAAACTAACCAGACATGACAAAACCTCCCAATCGCCTCTCCGTTGTTTTTTCCACATGGCAAGATACACAAGCACGGTGGACTCACTTGGTTAGCCTCCTCAGCCCTCAGACTCGGGCTGGAGCCCCAGCGACGTTCCACTCCCCAAGAGAGGTTAAGTGACCTGAAATAGGACCCGTCACCTGGGTTGGCCAACTGGGCGCCCGTCGAAGGGTCGAGTTGTTCGACCTCTGTTGTATATCTCCACCTTTGTCGCCCAAACACGCTCAACAGGACTGTCCACTTCATTAGGATCCCCTTCTTGCGTAGGCGAGACGCAAGGGACAGCAGCCCAGTGGCCAGAGCAGTGTCATCGGCCATGTCCACCTTGAGTCTCCCGGAGGAGGAGCCACCAGTACCACAGGTCGGAGGGATCTGGACCGGGGTTGGAAGGGGGTTTAGAGGAAATTGAAGTAATCTTTAAGTTGTGTTATGAATGTTTGAATATTGGGTTTTAGATGGTTTTAGTCGACATGTGCACAAAACAACCAGTGAATACATGGATCTAGACTCAAGAAATCAAGCTTATCTAGTTACCAAGCTCTGAGGGTTGCTGGACCATTCGCAACGTTGTTCCTCACCTATCAGGTCAGGGTTACTAGATTTTAGATCCTTTGTCATTGTCTATGTCTCCTCGCCTTGCAGTTCCTCAACTGCCAGCTCCAGATCGCAGAGGGCAATCCCGGACGTCCATGCAAGCGGCAGATCGCAGTGGCCATGACCGGACCGCAACAGCAAGCGGCAGATCGCAGTGGATATGACCGGACCGCAACAGCAAGCGCCAGATCGCAGTGGCCACGACCGGACCGCAACAGCAAGCGCCAGATCGCAGTGGCCACGACCGGGCCTCAACTGGAAGTGCTGGATCGCAGCGGGCACTGCCAGACCTCAACCGCAAGTGCTCGATCGTAGTGGGCATCGTCGGACCTCGCCAGATATATGTGATGCCACAACAGACAGAATGCCAGCGTTCATGCCGGGTAGTATGCCAGAATTTATGCTAGATAGAGTGCCAGGCCAGCCACCACGCCAGATAGAATCCCAGAATACTCAGATAGGCTGCCAGTATATGCCAGATAGAATTCAGAGTATATGTCAGATAGAGTACCAGAGTTATGCCAGATACACTGCCAAAATGTATGCCAGAACACGCGCCAACAAGGACGTCAGAACACAGCCCAGAACATCTCCCAGCTTTTATGATAGATGATGTGTCGCCTTTGTCAGGCCCGTCTGTCGATACATGTGCCCTGCCTTCCAGATCGCCTTTTCAGGGTGGCAATCGCTCGAAGTAGAGTATTTGTCCGGCTTTCTCCACTTCCTGCCTTTCCGGATCAGCAGGCAGTGAGCTCGGCGCCCACACCCGGCTCACCAACGTCACCGGTGCCTTTCACAGAGGTCCTGGACGAGATGCAGGTGACGTGCGTTGTTGGCGGACCGGACAAGTGTTGGGCGGGAGTGAAGCAGAGGGAAAGACGCACAGAAAACGACTGAATTCACGAGGAGGATTGAGGAGGGAGGTTCTGTGAGGTGTAAAGATTGTAAAGGTGCAAAGTTCAACTCTGCATTGAAAGAACATTGAGCGGGTCAGTATATAGTATATTTGCAGTAGTTTATGGCCCATATGTGTCCATATCGTTTGGCACCATTTACTTGTGCATAGTTATCTCGTATATTTGCAATGCGTTTATGTTCAATTGAGTAAGTGTCCCAAAACATGGTTGGCACCTCATCTCGTTGCAAAAAACTGTTTCAAAACCATGTCATGGTCTCCACATATCATGAAAACATTTCCCAAAATGTCGGACTGAACCTTCCTTGTCCGGGCTCACGAAAACACATTTTTCAATTTTTTTGTTCAGTCCTTTTCTGTTTGCAGGTCCTGACTGTGCTCTTCTTCCCTCCAGGCGCTTCACCAACGCCTCCTGGAAGCTCATCATCATGAGCTCGCGCGCGCCTCCACCGCCGGCTCCCCAACGGACCGCTCCGGTGCGGCCCCGGCGGCGCCCGCGGCCGTGCCAACGTCGCCAAGCTTGGCTCCGTCGGCCAGCGCGCTGAGCGTCTCGCACAGCGCGTCGTGCCTCGCGCCAAGCAGACGAGGGGGGGAGGTCGTCCACGGGCGCACCGTTTGGAGGGGGATTGGTGCCGGTGGTGGGGCGGGTGGTTTCTTTGTGTTTTTTATCGGGGGAGTTGACAAGAGGGTTGAATAATGTGGACTGGCCTCCACGCGACATCTCAACAAAAACCACATGAAAGGGTGGGCTGGCAACCGAGCCTGGGTTGTCGATATGGCGCCAGGATACCTGGGTTGACCTAGCTGGGAGGTCGCTCGCTACAGAGTGGACGGGTTGGGCGAACGTCGGTGGCATGACCCATCTTCACATCTTTGATTTGGTCGTTGCTCAATCTCGGTCAGAACTATCCCAGGCCATGCGGCCTGGGGTGGGTCGGGTGCGTAGATGTTATACTGGTTCATCATAGGGTAGTCAGAGGTCTCAGAATACCCTCCACCTCACCACTAGCTCAGAGCGGCCCACTTTGTTCCTTTGTTTCACCATTTTAGCCTCCAGTCAAAAGATGTTAATACTCGTAGGTCTTAATAGCACTTCCATGAACTCAATCAGCTTGATAGGCCTTCAGAAGATATCTAAGAGGCGGGCACTGGTGACACAGAATACCTGTCAAAGGTTTGATCGAAACAAAGCCAGTCAACGAGCGAAGCATGTAACGTGACAGTTCATTCTCATGCGTCGCACCTGTTTGAGTCCGCATTGACGTCATAATCCTCAGGAAGAAACACGTCAATTCCAAGAAATCGGTGATCCTCAACCTCCCAGCAGCAGCGGCTGAAAATGTGACCCATGTTCCTTGGCAAAAGCATGCCTCCAGAGGGACAAAACTGATTCAAATCATTCTTAACCAGTGCCGTGTCTTTCTCGGAAGTTACCACCAGCTTTGTGCCCCAACACGGAACATACACTTCCTAGCGTGTCAGCAAGGCCAGCTGGAGCCTATCAGATCAGGCAAACCAAAGAAAAGGTAAGACCAGGAGTAACCAACAGAGGTTAAGTGACCTTCTAGGACCTTACTGGGGGTACCTATTGGGATAGTCTATGGACCTTGGAATCTAAAACCACACTTACACTCCTTGGAATCATAGAAGTGGATGTCATGTCCCCTTGGATGACCTTTTTGTCCTCCACAAACAGGTGGCTGCCATGAAACTCGGGGAGGGCAAACACGTGAACACAGATTCTCAGCATTGGTCCATCCTTCACGCAGCTGGGCTGTGCAGTCTTTGGATGCGACTGCGGTCGTTCCAGAAGCTGGGGGCCATATAGATGGACTTCCGTGGAATTCCTATGAGATACAGAGACCTTGCCAAGTTGCATTTTGGGCTTCAGAAAAGAAGACACAGATCCACCGGAAGTCGAGAACAACTGGGAAGCGGTTCGGCCCAAAAATCTGCCCCCTGGAGGTCTCAGTCTGGCTTCTCATTCTTGATCCTGAAACTCAGACTGAGACTGATCAATTGGCTTGAGTCCTCAAAACAGACACTCCACGGGACTGTAGTCGCAGAACATCTCGGGCTGCGGGGATCCATGTCATCCAATATAATGTCAAGAAATCATCCCCAGATGGCTCGTGATGGGGGAAGTGCTGCCCTTTTCTTTCAGGAGAAGTCGGAGAAGTCCGTTTCCATCGCGCTGGGCCCCGCGGGAGACTCTGCCTCGCCGCGCAGCGTGGAGAGCCACGTGGAGAGCCGCGTGCGCAGCGTGCAGAGCGGCCTGAGCGAGGAGAGCTTGTCTCCGCGTTCCACGCGAGCAGCGAGGCCAAAAGGGGACGATGGGAAGGAGAATAACAAGAAGCTACTAGTAGCTTTTTGTTACTAGTAGGAATGCCCTTGTTACTAGTAGTGATACCATGTGATACTAATTATGTACGTAAGCCGGAGTTTGCTTGATATGTGTTCATCACCAAGGGTCGGGTGCGGATACAATGTGAGAGCGGATCAGCGTCCGTCAACGTTTCGCAGGTCTTTTTTCCGAGTCCCGCCCAACAAAAGACCGATATCCCGACACTCCATGGGACTGGAACTGGCCGCTGGTTAAGCTATGTGAACTATGTGGTCTTATTTTTGGTAGTTGGTTGGTTGATTTTAAGGTCAGGGACAACTTCCTGGAATATACTGTATAGTTACATACACATTGAACCCCAGGAAGATGACCCGTGTAGGTCCCCATGGAAGGTTTGGGGATGACCTCCAATCTTGGTGGTTTGGGTGTCGCTGCTGGAGCCCATATCAGGCCTGGTGGTCTTGGACTCTTTCCAGATCCAGACCATCACGGAGTGAACCATGACCTAGAATATACCATAATATACCTATCATCAGATTCATTTGACATAAGAATTTCAGATGCGTTGTTTGCGGTTGCATGCAGAAATGGTGCCAAAATGAAAACTGCCAAGAATTGACGATGAATCTCCAGGTAATGTAGAATCTTGATTCATAAACCCCCCAGACATGGAATGGTGTCTGTATGGAGTTGTTTTGCCGTTCACTGTCCTGGAGCGAGGTCTTAATCTTCAAACGGTCTGAAGTGGAAAAACACTCCCTTGAATCATGAAGTGCATGGAAGTGCATGGAAGTGGATGGCATGGCCTCGACTTTGAGGAAAACCATGAAATCCAAAGACCAAACAGGTGGTGAACTCCACTTTCATGAACATTCCAGGGACTATAAATAGAATGGCATCCAAAGAATCCTGTGTTCACTGGGTGAACTCCGCAAACATTTGAGGTCTCGAGTAGGTTGATGAAGCAGGCCAGTGCCTTGGCATGTCTTGGCGTTTTGACTTCAGGCTCATGGTTTGCATGCTTTTTTCAGTTGCCCTGGACCGAACTTGTTAATTGGGGCTCTCAGCTAGCGTGGTTGTCGTCGCGTCGGGTGGTGTTCTTCCGCACCAGTCGTTGTCGCAGTGGTGTAAGCCGAGTATGATCCTCAGTGCGGACGAGGGCGAACCCAGGTCCGACCCCAGGTCCAACCCCAGGTCCGACCCAGTGACACCGTACAGGCATCCTTGACCTTTATCGAATCGTGTGTTTTTGTATCATACTGATTCGGTCAAATGCAGGTCCAAAATGACCGGGCCGGAATCGAATCTTGTTTTGTATCATCTTCAGTATTTGTCCGGTCCAACTGACAACCCCCCTGTCGGACGGAGCCAGTCTCCGGGTGTACGGAAGCTCGCCAGGCGCTCAAGCCGTTCGCCGTGCGTCGGATCTGATCTCCGTCACCGCTGGAGTGGAGGTCGGCTCTGGCGGCACCGTAGAGTAGCAAAAGGAGCCCGAAAGTAGCGATGGCCTCCGAGTCTTGATCTCAATCAAAGTTCTTAAGAGTTTAAAGGTCAGTGTTCTTTTTTCAGGAAGCCCAAGGCCGGAGTCTGCTCACCTGGTGTACTTGATCTTAATGGGTGACCTGCTATATTCAACAACTTGGACGGTTCGCTCATAGAATGACCTCCGTTTTGGACTGGTCTCCGTCTCCGTCACGCGCCCGGAAGCACCGGGCGCGCCGTTCTCGGAGCACCGAGGGGAAGTGGCGGTGAACATCGAGCACCAAGTCGATGAGGACCGCGCGGAGCCGGAAGGTGGAAGGTGCGAGGTGCGTTGAGGTCCCGGGAGTGCGGGGTGAGGGGGCATTGACACGTGCCCTGCCTTTTTGTAGTGGAGTCCGTGGAGGAATCAGCTGATGAGAGATACAGGTTGTGGTACTTCTGAAGGGGAGAGAGAAGTTTCAATCCTGTGACCTTGTGCAGAGTATTGATCGCACCACCGGGAAAGCACTACATTCACTACATTATATGCATTAAGTCTGCTCCAGCACTCCAGGCATGCGATCTCACCGGTGTTGGATCGTTACGTGTGAAGCACGTGTGCCTTATTGAACTATGACCTTGTCAGCAGAGTGTTGTCAGCTATCTGTGTTCGTTTCATGAGGATGTGTCCACCGAAAACATGTTGTTTCCCTCACGTGAGATTAAAGGTTTGCAGAGGACCACATGGAACCCCAATGGCCCACTGGGTTGGTATTCGGAAAGTGGTCGAAACCACGGGTCAATTCTCAGGTTCCATGTTAGTTTGTGGCGGGGTACTCATTCCAGGTCACAGAGGATTGAGATGGCACAGACCCCAAGTTTGGTGGTTGATATGCAATCCCATCTAAAAGAAACCACTGTATACTAGTTTTGCTGCTTTTAAGCTTTGTGTGGCGTTGTCTCTCGGTTTCTTTTGCGCTGAATGGAAGATGCAGGACTCGCTCCACGGCGCGCTGCGGCTCCGAGACGAATGGGCCATGTCAGACACTGGAACCGCAGAGATATGTCATGTATTTTTATGAAGGTGATGTTTAATGTTCCCTATAATATTGGCATTATGGGTCAATCCCCTTTGGGAAGATCTGGTTGATTTTCTGTCCAGCTCCTGGAGTTACAAATTCCAAGATAAATCAAGATAATACCATCTAGTAGAGCTCCGGTTGACCTTTGTTTTGATAGGACGTTTGACCAAAATAACAGGTGGTTGGTCTAAAATAGAGGGAAACCAACAAAGGCACCAGGTACAAAAGAAAAAACACATATTCTAATATCTGGGATGTTCTTTTTTAACATGTCAGAGTGGCTTTGGTCATGTTTTGGACCAGGTGGATGTTGCGCATGTTCGGACGCGGGTGGATGTTGCGATCTCGCAGTTTGACATCAAACATTGAAGCATGTATAGCTTGTTGGTTCAGGATGTATAGCTTGTTTGTTCAGGGATCTTTGTATGGCGAAAAAGGGCGAAATCTCCAAATGTTCCAATGGAACTGGCTTGGCTTTTATAAGCCTGTATTTCAAAACGTGAGCCGTTGGCCTCGTTAAGGTGAGCTTTGGAACTGGACCTGGACCGTCGCCTGGACCTGCGAGCTTTAGAGAAAAAACCTAGGGGGGTTCTCCAAGACTGGTGGGTTCCAAAGCCTCAAAAGATATACTTTCAATGTGGACTCCCCATGACTTCAATCCATCATTCATCCCAAACCGATCCTCCGAAAGAGCTGGTTCACTTAAAGACAGAGTCTTCGGTTTCAAAGCACGGTCACCATTGGTTTGATGGTCTTTACCGAAAATACCATATTGGTTTACTAAGGATTTTTACATGATAAAAGCCAGGTCTTTGAAGGCTTAAGGGTTTTTGGTCGAATTTTTTTTGGGACCGCCGCTCGAGCGGAGGACCTACTGAGCAAGGCTCCGATGCTCGGTCGTCTAAGGAAGAGAAGCTCAAGGAGCTGAAGCGCATCCAGCGCAGGAGCACCGGACGGTGGTTCCTGAACAGTTCCCCGAGTTGGAGGATCCCTAGGGCTCACCCCACATCAGGAGAAGGTGGTTGGTTGGGGTACCATGGCGGGTCTAACCAGCGAACCTGAGGATATGGTTGGAGTCCGAGTCCGGAGATGGGAAAAACCGTGCACGGAAGGAGAGGTGACGCATATGTTTTCAGCCTCAAGGCATCCGCAGCTTCCTTGCACGAGGGTACGATGGAATGACGGGACCCGTTTCACGAAGCCCTGGGGCTTCGCCGCTTCGCCCTGCAGTGATCGCTTCGCCGAGCACAGCCTCTCAGAGGGTCCCAGTGGATCAGGTGGCAGTGGAAAAGGGAAGAAGCTGGCTGCAGTGACGTGATCGATTCACCCTCACATGTCCGGACGGCATCGGTGACCCAGAATCCGCAGCTGAGCATCCGCCGGCGTTTGGGCGCTCTTCAGCGTTTGGGCGGTGTTGCTCCACGGTTTGCTTTACGGTCCTTGGAGGGGTCCGGAGTCGACGAATGGCACTCCAGACATGGTTACCCCTAGGGCCTAGGGCTCCAGTCATACCTTCGTCAGAAGGTAGGACTGGACCTTCTAAACCCTCCCCAGTCCCACCTTCTAAGAAGGTACGACTGGAGCCCTAGGGTACATGGATTGTTGGGATTGGAATAAGTCCACTCATGGGCGCTTCGTGCAAAGAAGGAGTCCCATGGTGTTGGGCGCCTCTGTGAACAAGAAACACACATGTCGGTCGCTTGAAAACCATCCTCCCGATGAAGTAGATCCCCAAAAATGGATCTCCATCCTTGTTTTTTGCTGATAGGATGATTTTTCTTATCCCATCATATCCCAGGCTGCCAGGCTTGGGCGAATCCCCTGAAACTGGGGAAGATCGAACAAACAGATCTTTGATGCTTTCCCGATTCGACCGCCAAGTCATCGGTCTTCATCGCTTCCACCTCCCCATCTTCCTCCTTCGGATTTCGTCCGTCCTCGGCGCCAGGATGTCCATTGGAAGCCGTCGAAGCCTGAAGTCAGCGGTCAAGAGGCGACGGACGACGAAGACGACGACGAGGGGGGCAGGTCCCATGGAAAAAAGAAAAGAACGATCCGAAAAGGGCAGGAGGAGTGACCGGTGGTTTTGTGGGCAACAGGTGGTTTTAAGGATGTTTTCACGGTGAGGTGCATGTGTTGTTTTCCACCACCCGAGCTGTGTGACACCCAGAGACTGGGGAAGACGAGGGTAGTCAGACCCGACGTTTGTCCCGGCTCGACAGCATTTTGGTCACAGAAGGGGTTGTGACAAGATGTAAAGACATCTGAACAAGCTACTATACATGAGGAGTTGATGCTTTAGGCCGGTAGTTTGCTCCCTCTATCACTCTACACAAGCGGGAGACGTCGCCACGGTGGCACTATCCACAGGCATAGAGGGGCGGGGCATAGAGGGCAGTGTTGTTTCGCATTGATTGGCAATGGCCTGCACCCTTATAGCAATGGCCTCCAACATACTACCACAGCGATGGCCTCCACCCTAATTTAGTGGTTTCAGAGCTTGTTTTTGGACTCAGCGACCTGGCCTTGCTTGCGCTCAAGGATCCAAGTGCATTTCTGAGGCTGGAACGAGCCTACCCGGTCAGTGGATCATCTTTCACCTTTTTGGGGGGGGGCATTGGTTTTTCTCAGTTAAGCAGAACCGGGTTTTCCAGAAAACTCGGCAGATCGTCGCTGATCCAAAACCAACCACCGCCCACCGGACATTTCTTCGTCGGATGTTTCAGCTCTGGATGATCAGCGGTTTCTTTGATGGTTTCTTTGGGGGATTTGTCACGGTTCTTGTTGATCACCGTCTTTAACAGCTTGGGGGATTTGTCACGATGTTTTCAGCAGGATTGGTCACGGTCCGTCTGACGTGTTCTTTTGGATCGCGAAGAAGACGTCGTGGCTTCCACGTCGAGGTGTTCGTTTCGGTCGACGGTACCGGTGCTGGCTCGGAGCGACGGGACGGGAGCAGCTGGGTTTCGGCAGGCAATACTTGGTGCGGACCGAACGTGAAGATGTGCCCTGCTACGTTCTGTGCCCCAATTCTTGGCGACGAATCTGTTGGGACTTCTTGACCTGCATCTTCATCCTCTTCGAGCTGCTCAACAGCACGTGGTTGCCGTCTCTGCCAAGCGAGGGACACCTGAGAGGTTTGTCTCAGGGTCTCTCTATTTGGACATAGACGGTATAAGGCTCATGGAAACGCATGGAAAGGCCCTAGAGGCCGTAGTTCTTCGGTGTTTAGGGCATGTCTCAAGCTCCAGTCCCCGGAGCGCGCTTTTAGGAACCAAAACATCGACTGGAATTTGGGTTCATTCAAGCCACTGAGGAAACATGCAAGATGACATGCCAGCATGTGGCGTGTTAAGACCAAACACTGCACTGTCGCCTTCTGGCATATCTCGTTTGTACATCAATATATGTGATGTTACAATGTGTTGCGAAGTTTGTCTTCTTTTTCCATAGCTTTTGATCTTCCAGTCAAAACCTCTTCTGCCCAGTTAGTTGCCTTTCTACCAGGAAGCTCAGCCGGCCTCGTATCTGGATGGAAACACAGGGGCCCAAGGACCCAAACATGTCCCGCACGGGAGTGCGTATGCGGCAATGCGCATCGCATGGAAGTCCCATGGTACCCAGTACTGCATGGCCAGCCACACCAAGTTAAAAGACCACCAACAGATGCTAAGCTTATTGCACTAGGATGCACAGACACTCTATTGACCAGGACACCTGTGAAGTACAAGGAAACCAAATGCAACACAAACACAGCTAGCACACAGCAGGAAACACTGCTGCATTTTTGGGGGTGTCCATCGTCCCCTCAAAATGGACCTTGTTTTCATCTTGTTTCCCGTTCTCCTTCGTGTCAGTCGTTGGAGCGAGCTGCAGAGGATCTCCATTTCACCCTTGCAGCTCTACCGGATGGGCGAGCTCTTGCGGAACACCACAGATCTCCTGCAGTGGATGCTTTTTCAAGCAATGCTTTGGTATCCACCGGTTTTCGGCGTGCAGTACCGGTGGCGCAGGGACGGGAATCTGACATGGGAGATGTGCCCCAACAAAAACGACCGGTTTGAAGATGTTTTCCCTCTCCATTCTCATGTTTGGGAAGACAGACAACGACCTGTGTCACCGGTGCTTCAGTCCGCTTCGGGAACAAGGTCTGGCTCGGTTTGGCCAAAGCACATCCGACGTCCAACGAGACTTCATCCAGCCTAGGAATTCGGGAACGACCTACTACCAGTAGCAGCTGCTAGCTAGTATACGAGCATACTAGTAGCTTCTTGTTCGGAGGTAATGCCCTTGTGACATCTTGTGACTAGGAAGAACATGCCCTTGACTGATAGGTTCCCCAGCGCTGCGCAGGGACCCGTTTCACTCACTTTGGAGCGACCAGGGGAGTGCCCCCAAGCCCGACAGCTCAAGCTGGTGCTTGCTGAGGTTTCGCTGGCACCCTGCGTGTTGCGTCGTGAATGTCGTATTGCCGGCGAAGGAAGACTGCACATGACTGTTTTGAGGACTAAATGATAGGATCATTCATGATCATTGTATTGATTGTTAGCTTTTTTGACAAAACTAAGGTTCTCCCCACTTTTTTCAGAATTGGCAGCACGAAAATCAGCGGTTGGGAAGTGGGAAGTGATAAACACATGGCTGAGGATTTCCACTAGCTTTTGGCTCTTGGACATTGTGGTGTCCTTCTTTTCGGCTGTCTACCTGAATGAGACGTTGCTTTATCGCCTTCGTGACATTGCGTTCCACTACCTGCGCTCCTGGTTTTTCTTTGACGTGGCCATGCCCCTTGTGCAGCATGGGGAGCTGTGGTCCCGCAAGACATAAAGGTGGGACATGCTTTCACGCGGGGGCCGATGTTTTTCATGAGTGATGAAGAAAGTTAAGTTCATGTCAACTGTTTATTGTGCATTTGCTGGTTCTGCTTTTGTTTTGAGATCAAGAAGGGATCTTTTTTGCAATCAGTCCTTGTATTAGGACCCAAGATCCTGGCACTAAGCGCTATTAAGCGCTGGACCAAACAATAAAACAATAGGAGGTGGCTGTGGGTCCAAAGTTAGCAAGTTACACATATAATATATAAGGTTTTGACTCTCCCAACCGCATATCACATCACATAAGTCACATAATCAGCAGCCAGATGAACGAGTACTCCTCTTTTGTTAACCAAACACTTTGTGACTCCAATGGATGGAATGTTTACCTACATTGCCTGTTCAACCACTCCAATGGAAGTAGATAATTAATATACTTAGAGGGTCTGAAATATGTGTTATATATATATATATTTCTTGCGACCACTGACCATTCACCACGGTGAGGTCCCGATTCCCAAAAAGAAGTGCTTCTGTACCCATGTCATCCATGTAAATGTAATTATAGTTACTGTCTACATCAATTCACCCCATCAACATATATCCAAATGACCCATCCCATGTCGGTAAGCATTCCATATATGGTCTGGGCGAGGTTGATTCCCGATCTCATCGTGGTCTTCCTCCCGAACTTCAACGACGGCCCTGCGAGCGTGGTTCGCATCGTGCGCTTCCGGCGGCTCGTGCGGCTCATCCGGTTCCTACAACTCATTCGACTGTGGAATGTGGTCCAAAGCGCCTGGACGGCTGTTTAGTAAGGAACAGAAAGGACTTCAGATGGATGGAACAGAAAGTGACAGGTGCTAGCGGCGGCGATGTTTTTTGGGGTCTGAAAAGATGGATGGATGGATGGATGGATGGATGGATGGATGGATGGGTCAGATCATTTGTGTTGGTTTTTCCTTTTCGCTGTTCTCCTGGATTGGTTTTGCACGGGACCCAAAATAGATGGACAGGTTTGGAGCGGCAAACAGGGCTGGCGATGATTCATGTGTTTGGAACCAGCTTTTTACCACACAACTGAAGTCCCTTGTGGATTCATTCTCTTGAGTTGAAGGGCTTTGCATTGGACAATGGCGTTTTGTTCATAACCTATTGGAGCGCTGGTCGTTGAGCCTACGACCAGGTGATATATCACATTTGCCTTGAATCTGTGGAAGTGCCCATGGAGGTGTTTGGATGGCCTCCAACCTACTGCCGATGGCCTCCAACCTAATAGGGATGGCCCAACCTACTAGCGATGGCCTCCAACCTAAGAGCTATTTGGGTATAGGGGTATCGGTGAGATGCACCTTGGTGCGGGGCTGCGCATCGAAAATCAGGCTACGCATCGCTCGAGTATCGAATGACCTTTCTGAAGACCAAGCCCCTTGGCACCATTTGTGAGGGGAGGGGTCGTTGGGTCTGAGCACGGCCAACTCCAGATCCAGAGGTGAAAGACATGCGGTGGCATACATTGATACTATATATGTCCTTAGTAGATTCCATCATTGTGATTTCCCTGAGATGAGAAACATCCATAACATGAATAGACGTGTCTTCCCGTACACATTAGGCAGTCTGGCATGAGTTGCGCAACTCTAGGAGAAGCGTTCTGGACGGCAAGTCTGACAGTCGTTTCCACGGCAGAGCCGAAGAAACCAAGAAGCGAAAAGGGCTTTGCTGGGAGCAGGTGTCTATTGCAAGATATTGTAAATTCCGAGTTCGGCCAATGTCCTCAAGGTCAGTCGTCATACCCACCCATGCCGTCGTCATAGCTGATTTTTACCAGCCCAGGGGCCCAGGGGCCTTGTTTCTTTTTTGGTTTTTGTAGGGTATAGTCTAATTAGCAAGAAAGATTGACCTTATATTAATAACTATTTGATCGATTGTGACGATAAGGACCAAAGTCCAGGTAGTCTGCAAACTCTGCAAAGCAGGCTCAAAGACTTTACTTGGATCCTTCTTTCTCTTGCATCCTCATTTGCCATCCTTTGCCCATCTCAGAGCCCAAGTCCGAACCTGCCACTGGCGCTTCTTTCCGCCACTTCTTTCCGCCACCCCAAAGCACCCGAAGACGGAGGGACCAGCCGTCGCTCGGAGAGAACGGCCGTGCCGGCGACGGACGTCTGCAAGGTTCGGATCCTTGATCCAACCGGTGCTGACGGTGACGGTCATCATTGGCTTGTCCGTCCATGTCCTCGGCAGCTTGTGGCTGCTGGGCGGAGATGTTCGGATGGATGGTCGAGGTCTTGCAGGGGTTGAACGAAGGAGGATTTTGCAGTAGGTTTTGCAGTCTCCGGAAGCTCATCCGCTTTGAATGTTCAGATTGTGGAGGACGTTTCATCTTTCATGGGCACAGTTTCCGATTTTGAGACATGGAGGTGGATTAGCAGACTATGGACATACCCTGACATACCCTCCCTCCAACAAACAGGGTGGTGGATTGACCATGGCCCCTTGGATGACCATGAATTAATCATATACTAACAGGTGGTGTCCACTTCGATGAATGTTTCAGGGAGGGTATAACATGATATGAAAGACAATGTTCATGTGCACGCATGGGAAGTTCACTCAGAAAAGCACTTGGAACATGGCAGACTGCTCTTTTCAGAACTCTGTCGTTATATTTGCCATCTATCAAGGGTGTATCAAGGCGTTGTGTAGAAGACCGTCACTCGTTTTGCTTGTCGTCGCTCTTCGCTCTTAGCGCTAGCGCTTACAGATATTTCGACACCATTTAGCCCAGTCGGATGGTCTATTGTTTCGACCCCCTTTTGCTCTTTTTCGGCCCATGTCCCATGTACTTGGAGGCCAAGGACACAGACACTTTCAGGCCATGTTTGGCTCTGAAAGGATGCATGTTTGGGAGACCCCAAAGCGTGAGCCCATAGTCCTCCGAGCTGATGGCGAAGAAGGGGCCATGAAGAACATGCCGATCTCACATGGTCATACCATGTCATACCTATAGATCTTCCATGATCTTCGAACTCTCCAAAATGTAGTTTGCGTTTGTCAATATGTTTAATCGTGCTAAATCTATAAAACCAGCCCAAGGGCAGAAATGTTTCATAGTTCCAGGATGTTCTAGGTATAAATAGGCATGTTAAGCACCTATTCAAGGATAAGATAAACCAGATCTGCCCATGTCTTAGACCTTGAAAAATCAGCCGACCATCCGGGCGGGACCAGATGCTAGGACGACTTTTGTTGACGTCCGAGTCGATGTCCAGCGGGCCTCAGGTATTACGTGGGCGATGTGGACGGTGGTTGGGTGCTCAAGGAAGGCTTGCATGAGGTGTCCATTGCACGGCAATATACGCGCAGCATGGAGTGCCTTTGGTCGCCAGAAAGGAGGTCAGCACTAGCACGGTCATTACTAGCAAGGTGCTAGTGCCAAAGCTCCAAGGTAGCTCCTGAGAAGATAATCAGTTAGACAGTGGGACCCTCCAAATTCACCCGAACACACACTGGCCACACTCATTGTGACCCAGGGTGTGGCCAAGGGAACTGATGAGCAAAGACCAGCAACAGGGCACCTTGTCATTCTCGGGGCACCTTGTCAAACCACCCGATCTCTCCGAGCTGGCTGCCAGGGGGGTTCTGATTGTAGGCCAACACACCCAGACAGGTGGCGATCTGCAACGAAGCAGCTTACGGGAGTTCTATAGGCCTTTTTTCGGCTGCACCCAACATCCCGAAGTCGGAACCGGCGCCCAGCGTTCCGGTCGCTACATCACGCGCTACCGAACACCGTCTTGCAGTGGATCCCCCCACCGTCGCCCATGTATACCCAGACACGACTAATGGGACTGCCATAGGACTGCCGCCCCAGAAAGACCCCCCTGGCACCACCCCAACTGATTCACTCGATCATGACGCAACCCGTTGCTGTCGGTGGCTGCAACGGCCGTATACGTCCGACGTCCTGTTACCTGTTTTCGGTCAACGAGTATCACTATTTTAGAGAAAGCCCTGCAACTTAACGATCATCCACTGTCACTGCCAGGATAGTTACCTATATTGTCTATCACCCAGTTAGTCACCCAGTTATATAGACATAATCCAGGCAATAGATGGTATAAGCTGGTGACCAACTGCCAGCAGAATCTGCCTCTGCCAGCAGACACCGTCTCCGCGCCTCCGTCGCTTGCGTCTCCGTCTCCGTCACTCCGCTCGTTCCGTCGTCAGGTGGGCCTTATCGAAGCTTCCGCCCTCGGCGCTGCGAGTCAGTGTGGAGCTCCATACGCCTGCGGAGCGATGGCTGGGGATCTTCGGTACAGGCGCCGACCACGTCGGTCGAACGATCGTCGCCGATGGTTCGGACCGTTCGGTGCCGATGGTTCGTTCTGAACGCTTCGTGGGGTGCGATGTTTTGGGGAGGTGGTGGTTGGTTTCACGCGTTTTTCACCATGCAAGGCGGAGAACAGGACCTGGAGGTGAAGGTTCTTGGTTGTATTGCTACATGAACTAAACTGTAATCATTAATTAGCGCCTAACTCAGTGGCCTAACTCTATCACCTGCTCAGCATCTCACATCTGACCAACCCCAAAAACGTGTGTTGTGGCTGTTGTGGACAGGTGCCAAAAAGGTACTTGATAATGTCTTGTCCGGTTCGTTTTCCGGGAGATGGTTTTAGTGTTACGTTGGGCCATTGGGATCTTCCCAAGGAACCGAGGAGATAGTGCTCGATAGTAGTGCTCAATTGGACTGTGGGTTGGACTCCATGCATCAAAGCAAAAGTCGAGTGGAGAGAACGAAGACTGGCAGAAAGGTTGTGCTTTGCGAACGCACAAAAGCCAGCTATAGCGCCACTGGAAGTATGGCAGAACCTGGTGTTATTGCAAGAGGACATGGCACCTGAACATTAAGAACCAAAAAATGTATTCGTACCATAATGATCTCCAGAGCAGAGAATTCCAGCTCTTAGATATAATATATATAATATATATAGAGAGAGAGAGAGATCGCTCCGTATACGCACTCATACGGACTCCATAACGTCTTCAAGACGAAACCAAAGCCGTTTGGGTCACGCTTGTGAGGTATGGCCTTGCTTTGCGGCTCCATTTTTGTAAGCTTCTTGACCAATACTATGGCCGATGTGGCTCGCGAGAGGAGACGAAGTAGGGACGTGGGGGCGTGGAAGTGGTTTTTACATGAGGAAACTCGGTCTGTTTTCGAGTATCAGTATGGCAGAGAGAGGGAGAGAGATCCCAAATGTTCAGACTCAAATCCAAGATATTTTGGGAGTTGCATCAGATCTTCTTTTTGATCTACAGTAAATCTAAGTGTTGGCATCACAAAAGATCCCAAAAGAATTGTGTTTCTATGTTTTTCTCATTTGCAGGACTCGAACCACCAAGATCATGCAGTCCGTGCGGAAGTATTGCTCCATGCACGGCATCTCCTACCGACACACGATGCAGATGCGTCGCTACGTGGAACACGAGCACAGGCGGAAGGAGATGAACAGCCACATGCCCCTCCTGGAAGATTTGCCCGAAGGCCACGACACCGCAGGGGCCACGACACCGCAGCGATGGTGAGAGAGAGCAACCACCCGACAGCTCCGGTAATTCGACCACCTGGTACCCACCCGGAGAGCACCGAGCCGGGAGTGGAGGTAGTTGGATCTCAGCGGATGTGTTCTTCTCTGAATTCTGGTCCTTTAGCTGAGTAAAGCTTCAACTTGGGATAAAGACCCAATCAAAATGCTGGTCCTTTGCCATCATTGAGTAGGTCTTTTTTATGATCAACTCCACTAAAGCGAGGTCTTACACCTGTAGGGAAAGAATTTGGTTTCCTGTCCAGTGAGGTTGTGAAACGGGTAGGGAGTCTCTTGGAATCACTCCATTTGGAACTTCCAGATCAGTCACGTGCGGACAATTCTCGAATCCCTTCCATGACATGACAATCCGCCATGGTTCAATCCTAGATCAACTCCTACAGTACAGTAGTAATTAGATCTCCCGAAATAAGAAAAAGAGAACCTGCTTACTACTATACACTCGAAATCATCATCATGGTGGAAGCGGATGGCACCACCTAGGACTGGTCTTCGGAACGTGATCCAAGCACTTCCATGCTCCAGTCGGACCTTCTTAGAAGGTGGGACTGGGGTGGGTGCCAGGAGGGTCCAGTCATACCTTCTAAGGAGGTACGACTGGAGCCCTATAGGGTAAGTGAGTCTAGCTCATTATGACCAGTCCAAGCCGGTCCAAGCCTTGCTTGTCCTCTTGCTCATGGGCAGACAGTCCGATGGGAGCTTCCCGCTTCCGCTTCCAGGCATGGTCCGGGAGCTGTTCCAAGAGGGCCGCACGCAAACGTTGCACAACCACGCCTTCTTCATGGAAACCTGGAAGAATTCTGAGCAGACCCTGTTGTTTGTTGTTTGGAAAGCCGCATCCAGGTCTTTTCAGATAGCAACATACAGTGACCTTGAAATCTGTGTGCGCATACAGTATCTAGATGTACATCTATTACATGTTCATTGTTATATCAATTCAACACTTAAGAGTTCTCTGTTCACTGAAGTTGTATCAAGAACTTGACTTTCCCATGTTCACTAAGTTCATTTGCTGGGTTAGATGTTGTTGTTTGCTGTTTTGTTGTTTAATGGGTCTGATGGCCTAGCTGGTCAGAGGGCCTAGCGGCCGCATGCATGCTATCCGAACGAAGGAGATCGGCCTGGCGGATTCGGCCATGGAGCTGAATCTGTGCTCCTTGGGACGTCCAGGAGTTGGACCGTTTGGACGTTGGGAGGAAACCAATGCTGAACATGGTTGGGAAAAAAGAACAGCTCCAAGAACAGCTCAGTTGATGGAAGTTCATGGAAAAACCAGCTGAGAATCGGCATCAGAGGAATCATGGGCAAGTTTTGCCACCAGCAAACTTGATATGCAAACAGCATGTTTTCCTCTATATCACGCATGGGTGTTCCTTTTTGGGGATTCCTAGGTGTTTTGTTTGCAAATGGTTTGGGATTCCGATCATTTCACAAATCATGGAGTCCTGATTTAACATCGTTCAGGGCATCATAACTTCTTGATGGGATATTGATTTCTTGCTATATTGAAAAAGGTTTTTTTGAACAGCTTGATGCTTCTCAGAGGTTCACAGAGGTTCAGTTGTCATGGGAGACTTCCCAAAAAGTGTGTTAAAAAGGAAAGACAGAAAACATAGACATACACGCCCATCCAATATGATTGGTTCGGGTCTCCCTATCAAACATGCTTTACCAGTGTCCAGTGGCACAACCAAAAACTGCCAAAGGCCCTTCGGACAAGGTCGAAGCACCCAGAACAAACATCATGAACCCAATAGCTATAGTTGTTTGGAACTGATATCCCACTCCATGTGTTCAAATTGGATCAGAAAAATCCAGACACTCCATGTATGGCATATTTACATACATTGCGTTGGTTTTGGCGGGGTAAATGCAGGTAAATATGCCAGTCCCATGGAGTGTTTGGGTATAGCATATTACATTGAATTGATCCTTCTTCAAGCACAACGGTCCTAGTTGTTCTGTGGGACTGGAAGCTGGATCGAGACATGGTCGGACCCAAACTTCTGTCCAGGTAGCCATGCTGTCTCTGAGCTGTACCTCTTAGCAGGTGGGGCGGCCTGCTCGTGTGCGCCCATGCCATGGACGGTCTCAAAACGGAGGTGGAAGGGTGAAAAATGGCACCCAAACAAGATGATTACAAGAATATCGTATCATGATGTATCATGAAGACTCTTGACCATATTTCAACCCCCAAATCCTGAAGAGGTTTTACCATCCATGTGTTGTGGGAAATTCATCAAAGAGTCTACATGATATGCTTGTGGGGGATTCACTGGTTCATTACTGGCTCGACCTTCTAAAGTGGGCATACGTTCTAAAGCTGCCACGCCAGGAGTTTTCATGCACCCCTTTGGATGTCAAGTTTGCTTCTTTCGTCCCTTCTTGTTGACACTGACATGCTTGTGATGTGTTGCAACTCTTTCATCCCCCGCTGAAGAGCACCCAAAAAGTTCCAATACGCCCTATTAGAAGCCGTCTTCCGGACGAGGACCAAAAAGTAGTCGCGAAAAAGTAGTCCGCGTAAGCGTAAGCATCCACGCTTCACCGCCGCGTCCACGTCATGTACGCAGTGATATTCCTTAGACGGATGTTCCAGAGCTGGCAACACGACTAATGGGACTGGCAGTCCTGAATCCATGCAATATGGGGTGGTGTACATGGGGGGTCAATGTAGGTAAATATGCCAGTCCCATGGAATGTTTGGGAGAGATGTTCTTTCGCTTCAAGTGCAAAGTGTCTTGTGCAGATGGCTGATGCATGCTGCTGTGGAGGTGACATCATCTTTGATACCACCAGCAAGACTGAAGGGATGTACCTCATCGGCGCGGGAAACAGCATCTACTTCTATTGGTCGGAATCCACGAAGATGAGCGCTCGCAGATCGAGGAGGACTGAGACTACAGGCAGATGTGGAAGATGGGCCGATGGGTGTGACTTTGAGTAGTTCGTGCCGGTTTTCATGGGGTTCCATGTTCATGGTTCATTCCACCGTTTTTCAATTGTACTTTCACAACTGAACAATCTGGTCATGAAGTTGCCGATGCATTTGCCGTGCCGGCATATTTGGTGGTAGTGCGTGTCCTAGGCATTCTCGAGAGAGAATTGCGAAGCTTTGGTTTTCATGCTATGACCAGAGCAATAATTAGCATATGCGGGATCGCTTTCACTTAATCCTATTTTGAGAGATGGGTTCAATGATCATCTCTACCATGCTTCCTCACCTGCAGTGGGAGGCAGCATCTTCCAAAGCATCATGACCCTGGGCACCAGCGGGCCCACCAACACCAATCAGCGGGACCGGAGCTCAACGATGCTAATGGCGCAAACCATGATTCAGGTGGGGCGGGAGCTGGATTCAATGCAACGAAGCGAGGAATGATGAAACGACCCAGGCAGCGTATGTTTTCAGCCGTTGGGCACTGTGGAAAATGGATATTATAATGGATCTATCCCATCTCCCATGCACCGTGGATTGATTGAGACTTTTAAAAATTCCTTTTCGAGCTACGGTGGAAAGTTCGATGCGGTTGCAGTTCGAGAACTGGAGAGCTGTATGTGATCCGTCCAAGTTCCAAGTCCAGCTGCTGGGAGCTCGCTCGCTCTGAACAGATCCAGAGGTTTTCGCCGGCACTCCAGTCGACCGCCACTCGCCGACCTTGTGGGGCGCTGTGGGCCTCTGTGGGCCTTGTGAATACGCTTTTTCGCTCGAAGAGGTCGCCGGCACGTCCATCCTCCATCCACCCGCCGCTCCTCGAAGGCGGGCGAGTATTGCGCCGAGCCGGCTTTATGGGTCAAGGCATGGCGTCATCAAGGACTGAGGCAGAAAACGGATGTGGTGTGAGCGGTGTGGTTGACTTCTGGTCTTTTTGGAACCTGCGCCGTTTTCCTGTGCCTCACATCAGCTCATTGTCGTGAGTCTACTGGGTCCTTCACCCCAGAGCATCTTTGACTCGCTTAAGGACACGGCAGAGTGGCTGTTTCATGGCGTTGGTTCCACATCCTAGACCATCCATGGGACTGGCATGTTTATCTACTTTGATGTACATCGACCCCAGGTCTACCACTCCAATGGTCCCCAATGTAAGTACCTGGACCCGACTTCAAGTACCTTAGAAAAAGACACAGGTACTTACTACGTACTTGTACCCATTGAATCCGAGGTACGAACGGGTCGACTCCGGCCTTCCTTCCTTCCGTCCGACGATCCGGCCTCGGTCCGACTCTGCGTGAAGCTTCTTCTTCCGCGGAAGAAAGGGACTGAACGAGTCGTTGTTGGTTGTTTCGGGGTTCGTTCCTTGTACCTCCGTTCTTTTCTGGGTGAGTGTCACATATGTGGGGTATATATGGGTATATTATAATGGTATATATATGAGACAACCATGGACGGACTCCGAAACCTCCAACTCTGCCACCCTCTCCGCCGTGGGAACACCACGGCCAAACGGACTTCGACCCTCCGCGGATGGACTGTCCACACTCTCCGTGGATGGCGGGGAGGTTGGATGACATCGCTGGTAGGTTGGAGGCCATCGCATTGATGTATGATTTTACTTGAACAAACACCCTGACCTAAGGGGTTTGGGTCCATGTGGCAGAGAGCGAATCCTTGTCCTGGGAGGTCTCATAGGTTCATCTTATAGGTGATAAAAGGTTCATGGTTCATCCAATCTGTCCATCGAAGCCGTGGAGTGAGTTCGCCCCGGGTCCCCCTGACCCCCCCCCCCAGGGCAGCGTCCACCCCAGACCAGTCCTGGCACGAGGACAGCTTCAGTCGGTGGTCGAGAGCCGAGCCTTGTTGGTTTCAACTTGCGAGCTCTTCAAGGCCGTCGACGAATGAACGTGAAGAGCTGAACCTTTGTGATTTTCTTTGTTTTGTTTTTGATCAGCGGTATGTCCAATGATACTCCTTGAACCACAAAAAGACACCAAGAAATCATTGATAGGTATATATAGGTATGATTTATAACAACATATCATATAACAAATGTATATAATATATATACATATATCCCTAGAGCTCCAACCATATCCTCAGCTTCGGTGGGCATTATAGTATTCGTCTGTTCTTCTTGCCAGCTCGGAGAATTGGATTCGCCAGGTGTCGGATTGCATGTTATGGATTGGTCAGAGATGTGGGTGGATGTGTGTGTTACTTTTTTGGGGAAACCTCAAAGCTCGACTTGGAAGGGAAGTAGACCAATCTACCCAGCCGGGGCCAGGTTGTCTCCCTATTCAAATACACACCCATCCAGTAAACATCGTAACATCATGACCTTCCGATTGTGAGTCATGAAGAGAGGGGCACCTTATTTCGGCCTCCAAGCTGCTTCCAGCGGCCTCGCAGGTGCTTGAACACTACGCCAACAGTTTGGCGAACACCATCGTTTATGCGCGGTGCTTCGTTGAAGAACTCAACAAGACCGCGGACTTGTGTAAGCAAGTCACAGATCTACCATTGATGCTTGGATTCACCATCGATCGACATATCGATCGACTGTTGATGAGAAGACCTCACAGACCTTTGGATATCGTTTCGGTTCTCCTCTTCAGGTTCTTTGGGCGACGGTAAAACCATCAACTGTCTTTACTCAGACGACTATATACCTAGAACCGTTCTGTGACCCCTGTTTTAGAGGATCAACATGGATCAACTATCCAAAATACGGCTTGTTCCTATCAAAAGTGAGGTCAAATGGGTTCTATTGGTACTATAGGTACTATATATATATATATAAGCCCAGTGAAGTAAAGGCCATTTCAGAAATCCGGTCTCCTAGTCAGACCATTCGTTCAGCTTTGACTCATATACAAAAGTCCAGTGGTTTCAGAGGTTGGATGAATGCGATGACACACCAAGAGTTTCTGAAAAGATGAAGGTCCATCTTGGACTGCGCCAGGTACTAAAACAGGTACTGCTCATGACTGCCATGGTGGAGTCTTCACATCTAAATCACCAAACTGGATTGAGTTTCACTGTACCCAGCAGCTTCATGGACTTGGGTGCTATCCATGCAGGAGCTATGGCAGAAAGGCCCCGAAGTCACATGGGACTAGCCACAAGAAATCGCCAGAATCATCTGAAGGGCCGTTCGGCGTTCGGCGGCGGAACCTCGGCGTTCGGCCTTCGCATGTGTTAAGTCTACATGTATTTGACCAGCACCGAACACAAGGGATCACCCAAAAGAAAAGCCCCTACCACTGCTCCGAGAATCTCCGAGAATGCACCACCCCTTTGGACTCAGGTCCATACCATGCGTTTCTTCAACTCCATGTGACTCCTCAAATGAACTGCCCAGACACGTCCCGTCTCTCAGGACTCCCCTGGATGAGGAGCGGCGACGTCCGCACCGCGCGACCTCGGTGCGCAGCTTGTTCTCGCAGTCCAAGGTCTACCCCCGCGGGTGACAGCCGTTTTCCATCCATTCGCTCCGCGTGTCCGCGTGCCGCGGCTCGCGCTCGCGCTCACCGCGTACGGTGGGCCCGGGAAAACGAGCACCCGAAGATGATCAACATCCATGTGTAACCAGAAGGGTCATTGAGTCAACGTGTGAGGTTGCGGTGGATGCTTTCCTGGAAGCCTGAAGTCTCGACTTTGCGACCGGTGACAGGCGATTGGTGCGATGTTGGACTGCCAAGAGACCACAAAAACAACCAGATCTTGGACATCTCCCACCTTCTTCATAGGGAGGGCATAGGGTTTAGGGCATTGCTCGTGATGATTGGGTTGTCAGATCGCACTCCACAAAACGATAAGGCGACATGTGTGTTAGGGGGTTGAACGAATCGACCACCAGTTGATCTTCAGAAAGTACCCTTTTGGCAACTGAAGCTCACGTGTGAACAAGAACATGGGTCCCATTCCTTTGGATTGGTCAATGTGTTAATTGGCCAAGCTCCGCATTTTCACTATGAACTGATGAACGAACTTGATGACTTATGGGACATGCCCAGAACCTTCTGCGAAACGAAGAAGGTTCTTTGTGCGACAGATTCAGACCCGGGTGGGCGCAGGGAGTACAGATAGGTTGTTGTTCCAGTCCGAGGGGTCCTCCAAAACAAAATGATTTGCACAAGAAGTTCGACTGCGGAGGTTCAAAGATCGTTCATCACAAGCAACATGGTGATATGATGGAACCCTAAAATATCGTACCAGTGCCTTTTTCGGAGCAGATCACATTTCATTGCCAGTTCTGCACCACAGGTTGTGCATGCTTTAAACGAAGCAAAGTTCCATTGGCAAGTTTGGTCGATCTCTCTAGTGTGGGGCCGGTTGTTGAGCAGAGATCTCACAACAAAACGTGGACAATTCTAGCTTTGGGATGGACCGCGAGCCATTTGGAGAATTTGCGTTGGACCGCGAATTGGCATTGGACCTTGCTTGGAAGAGGTGATTTTTCATGAATCATCATGAATCATATTTGTTGATTCAGTGAGACCTGGAGATCGTTCTGGCATACTTGTTTTCCCCGAAGACGGCGGATCAGACCTGAAAATTCAGGGATGAGCGCCCAAACAACAGCGATCCTTGAGTTGCCAAGAAATAGACTGAGGGCCGGAGAAGATATTGCCAGAGGATCTTAAAGCTGCAACATGTTCGCAACAGCTAACATCGATGAACTTCCTTTATACATGCAGATCTTTTGGCAAAAAATGGGATGTCCTTGCCTCTCGCTTGGAGAGTGCAAATTTAAAACTATCCGGATTTGGATTGGTTTTGTTCCTTTCTACCTGGCCATAGTAACCAAAGGTTCTGGCTAAAGGTACCTCATCATAAAAAAATACATAATATATAAACGTAAAGGATCAATGTTCAACACTAATTGTTTGTTATTAATATATAATAAATGAATAGATATATAGTATATTAAAAGGAATAATATTGGATATATTTATTTTAAAGGTTATTTGAATTTTAATTATCTATGTTTGAAAATTTATGTTTCTTGATAATTATATATTTATGAAAATTAATCTTTATATAAGGGGTTAATTGATTTGTATTTATATTATTTGATTGATAAAGTGTAATAATATAATTTTTTATTGTAAGGGCTTCGCCCGGGTGCTGCCGACCCCCTTTTTTTAAGAGGAGTGTAGTAGGTGTAGACAGTTGTAGTGAGCATTCTACGTTTTAGCCGCGAAGCTGGAAAACAGGATAGAATTCCGCCTACGCGTAACGCAATAGATTAATTTAATTGTTCTTATATATAGACTCTGTAGTTAGAAAACTTGGCTTAGGTTTTTGTAATGAGGCATGTATTGTGTAGGGAAAAACGCTTCTGGAAAAAAAAAAAAAGATGCAGACGGCGCAAGCTATCCTAGGCAAAAATCGTGACAAGGAATGGGAAAATACTACTCGGGGATTGGTTTGGCGCAATGGGAAAATACTACTCGGGGTTTGGTGCCATTTACTTTTACAATCCGTTTCGTGAAAGAACGTTATAAAATTTTTGGCCCTGAAAGCAGTAAGCTGCGCCATCTACTTGGCAGTATCTATGGGCTTAACTATCCTAATTATGTTTTACACAAGTGTTGTGCTATTTACGGGGCTATTATCGTGTAGCGTTCTGTTATTGTTTTAAGTGCAAGTGAAAGGGAAAGGTGAAGGGAAAGGCAAGGGAAGGATAGAGAAAGGCGAAGTGAATGAAGGAAAGGAAAGAAAAGAAAGGTATTTAAGGAGAGGAAAAGGAGACATTAAGGAATGGATAGCAAAGGAGAAAGGAAGAGAAGGAGAGAGAAATAGAATATGAAAGAAGGAAAGAGAAAGATAATTCAAAGAGAAGAACATGAAAAACAATTGGAATTTAACAGAGAGGTTGTCTACAAAAATTAACGACTTATATTAGTGTTCTTTGCAGAAGATGGCGTAAGTCTACTCTGTGAATGGGTGGAATGCTATTTATTATGCTTGAGGATGCATAGGTATATATCTTGTTTTCCACGGTTTGTCGCGTGCGCTTTTGGCACTTTCTGGTGCCATCGATTCGTTTCCGGATATAGCTATTTAGTCTGAACAAGGTGTATATATATCAGTGAAGTAATTATGCACCTATTTCTATATACCTATATAAGACTTGGGAGACCTTATTCTGACGCATGATGACGTATGTGGGCGTGTATGCGTTAGACCGTTCCCTTTTTGTGGTAGCCTTTTGGCACAAGTAGCCCTCGTCAAACCTACACATGATATTATCACCAAGACATTCATAAGCAACTTGACGTTCCTGGTGAGTGCGTGTTCCTGCTGTTGCCTGGATGACGGCTTACACGAAGCAGCCGCCCGGAAGATCCTGACCTGTTGGGGGTGGGTTTGGGAGGTTGTCTGAACTGGCCGGGAGGAGCTCTGAGAGTGTGAGTGAAGGCCCAATGTCATCCGGTTGGTGGAGTGAGCTTGAAGCTGTTCTGAAGGTG